GAAAGAATATAACTTCCCCAAATGATGGTAGACTGACACGTGGAATTTTTCAGGTTTGCCATACACACAACATACTGACAAAGATATGGTTGTTATTCTGACAGGGAAGTACCTGTTAGTTTCAAGTTAATCAGGAGAACAACGACACAATGCCAGGTCAGGAGTGAGCAACACACACACACACACATACAGCAGATCAGGCCACTTTGAAGCAGAGCACTGCACAGTGACGTGCCCTAGTTCTGCTCTCGCATATGGATTTTCCCAGGAATTTCACCGGGCAGTAGAAGAGCAATGAACTTGTGTTGAGAAATGACTGTAAATGAGGGCGAGCGCTGCGTCTTTTCGTCACACTGGTCACATTGTTTGATCTACAGTGAGCTCATCTCTCAGTAAGATAAGGTAACATGGAGTATTTACCCATGATAGCAAATTCACCTGGCCTATTGACTCTTCTCACAAGGTCACAGTCAACAACACAGTCTACTTTAAATGTGTTGTCTCTGCTGTCCAATACACAATCCCAAATGTCCTTTACTTAAAATGGGTTCACTCTCGGTTAGCTTAAGTGATTTCATCAAATTCCCAGCATATCAACCGAGCAATCTAAGTTGAGAAGGGAGTCAATGGAGGAAAAATGTGCATAAACATGCCTGGACACGGCAATAACAACCTCAGGAGAAGGCGTCTCGACCAGCGTCTCTCAGCAACATAGCTAGCATAGTACCTCAGAGGAAGAATGAATGGCCAGGAAATGCCTGGCATCCAAATAATTCTACTTATGGACTTTAAGTAGACTTTCAATTAGCTGCTATGCCAGCACATGCTGCAAGACAGGAAAAAAAAAAAGATAAAAGAAAGATAATCAGCCCCTCCCTGGGGGGGGGGACATCTGATCGAGTCCTACACTTGGAGCTACAGAAGCTCACATTCATGGGTGTCAAAAATGCAGCTATAAAGTAAACCATACTCAGACAGGTGGAGCAGAACCTGTTTGACAGCTGCTGAGAGAACTGGCTCACACACATGGTCTGATCACAAAAAAACACTTGTGACTACACCTCCTGCTCTCCCTCTCCCTCTCTCTCTCTCTCCCACACACACCCACAGTTGATAAGGCACCAAATAAAACTGAAAGTGTACAGCCTGACACCTCTCTGTGATCTTGGGGTGGACCTCACTGAGCTATTTTTGGTTGTGGTGATGGAAACGAGCCCTCTCAAGTCAGCGTTGGATGGTGTGCTGCGGGTTAGGGTGCGACTGGTGTCAGGTCAGTGCAGTGAGTGGGGGGAGGGAGGGAGGACGTCTGAGCAGCATGAAACAGAAACCATCAGGTGCCATCATGCTGACACTTGGCTAAGACCAACCTCTGGTGAATTATGTGTGAAATAGAAAGTGTTTTCCCAGGTATTCAGACTGAAGAATGCAGATAACAAGACAGAGCAGTGGGAGGAGCTGTCAGAGCCACTACAGCAAACATTGCAGAGATGCTTCCTTCCACTGACAAAACACAAATGAGATCTTGTCAGTTTTGGGTGTGGCTGGCAGGATATCACGTCTCCCACCAGCTCCCTCCCTCCTTCCTGTAATCAGAACCAGGGAAGCACAGAGAGAAGAGGGGGGTGATCAGAACGTTTACACGAGTCAAGTTTTGATGGTTCAGGGTTCGGTTGGGCAAGTGGGTCAGAAAACTGCTTGCCCGAGGTCAACTAAGTGTTTTATTTATTGGCGGTTATCAAATAACAAAGATTCTCTTAGCTGCCATGCTAGCCAAACAGTCCAGCGACATTTTTCAAAAACTTTAGTCAACGTTTCAGTTGTCCACGTCTTCCCACGCCACCCAACTCAACTCCTGTTTTGAGGATAACTGAAATACTCGTGTTTCTGCACATAAACTTCTCCTGCCGCCTTTTTCTCACGAGTGTCTGATCGGTACTGAGCATGTGCAGCTCTCAACAGAGATGAAAAGGGAGCGAGATGGCTCACTCCTTAGCTACTTCCAGCATCAGCTCCAGAAAAACAAAATAATGCATTTTGTTGAGCCCTGCAGTGGCGAGTCAGCACAGTTAAACTGCAATTCACTCACATGACGGGGAACAGAGTGAATTTTAAGTTGGTCCTCTTGCTCAGTTTTTGTGCTGCCTTCATCAGCAGTTGCATGTAGGAAACAAAAACTACACTGGTACTGGTACGTGGTACACACGTCAGGTCTGACAAACAGAACAGAGGACAACTGCTGCAGGAGGACAACACTGATGATGAGGGCAGAGTCACAGCACTGGTGGATCAGTTAGTGCTCCAATTAACTGCCCACTTGTCTAAATGTGTCAGTGTTTATTTGTAGTGATGGGAGTGTTGAAACGTGACAGTAACATTTGGCTGATCTTGTGAATATTGTTGTCTTTTCACATTAAAATCTCAATAGACCCACAGCTTCAGAAAAAAAAAGCATTCTGTCTCATTCTGAATGTGGAATAATAAATTCAAATCTGCACACAAGATATGAAACAATTAGGGGTGGGCGATATGGGCAAAAAAATAATATCTTGTTATTTTTGGGGATTTTGGTAACCATAATCAGTTGATATCTTTTAAAATGTGATTGGAATTGTCTGAGTTAGGGCTTGTGTCCACCAAACGCGTTTTTAGCGCTGAGCGCTCAAAAACTAATTTTCCGACCGCCCAACGGTGTTAAAAGTTACAGTTTTCAACTCAAAGCGCTCTGAGCGCTGCCACCAAAGCACCTCTGCCTTTAGGCTGTGCATTTACAAAACCTGTCTTTTAACATATCCGGCAAAATGTATTTGGAACCATCTATTTATGCACTTGTGACAAATAATTAAGGGTTTCTTACTGCTGCCATGCTCTCATTGGTCTGGAACAAGATGCAACACTAGCAGCTCATATGTTGACTTCATGACAAACTTTACAATCCTAAGGCTTCATGGCATGTTTTCTGGCTGAGCTTTTATGCATACAATCTCACAATGAGCTATATCCTTATATATCTGCTGCAAAGCCTGATGAGCAAGAGGAAATTTTACAGCATTTCTACTTCCTATGCCATCCCATTAGCAGACCACAGATAAAAGCATATTTTTCTGCCTGATAATGTGTTGCACATTAGGGGAGGTAAAACAGAAATGGAGTTAACAGCTAACAGCGCTAAACACAGCGTGACAGTCTGAGGCAAGTGCTGTGTTTGAAGTTTACAGGCAAGGTACGCCTCTTGGACGTCTCCTCGCCCGCACAAGGTTAGATAAATTAACTTTCCTGTTCAAAGTTTAAAGAGGGAAGCCTTTGAAGACAACACTGACAGTCTTTGCTTGTATATTCACACTGTGCATACGGCAAAGACAGACAAAGAATTCCTGCCTTTGTTCTAGCCTACTCCTAAAATATAACACATTGGAAGCTGAGCAGGTGAACATGTCTCTGTGGCTTGCCCTACACATTGGGAGGGGCCATTTATTTTGCCTCCATTATAGTTTTCAGGTGGACTTTACTATGCAAGTGGAATAGTCCACAGAGAACAAAGGCTTTTTGTTTGGCTAGTCTTGCCCTGATGCAGGTGGAGCTGGAAGGACAGCCTGTGTGTCCTTCACTGTATCCTGTCCAGATTATGGGACTTTTTTTGCTGCTTGGCCTCCACAGTCTTTGTCTGTCCAAGTTAATCAAACTATGATTTAAAGAGGCAGATGATGAAGTAATGTTTGCAGAGGTTAGCATGGAGTTAGCAGAAGAGGACTCAGGTGTATCACACAGTTCAGCTACACCTGAGCTTTAGTTGAATGGATACAATGGGAGCAGGCCTGTGCAGTGTCATTCATTATTTTATGCTGTTATGTTATTGAGTTGTGTTTTTGTCCTGAAACTAGCCAAACCGGTGACACACACACACACACACACACACACACACATATATATATATACACACACACACCCCCTCCCCAAACGCTCCAATTACTCATGCTTGAAACTAGACCGTTGACTCAAAGGGCTTACTAACATACCTGCCGGGGAGACACACCTTGCTGAAGTTATACGTTTCCGTAATTATGCAACACAGCCTGCCACTACTACTCACCTGGTTGCACACTGAGGTTAGCAAGAAAAAACGCCACTTGTTTCTTCGGCACGACTGATATCAAAGTTAAAACACACATCAATTTCTTGCTAATTTTCTGCTGACTCATGTCTTGCCAAAATTAGGTCAATATCATTATGCCCAGGTGTGTGCTAACGCCCGTGTAACATAGTTATTTTTTTCTATCTGGACGCGTCTACGAGGTTTACGGTTAACAACAAGCTAGCCAGCGGTTAGCCAATCAGAACACGAGCTTTGATTAAAACTCACCCGTACCAATCTCTGTGCTGAGAAAGGACCATTGAATGTTGGCGTTGTTACAGACAGACACACTTACTTCATAGAACGTAACTGACGAGTTTGTACGAGCCGTTGGGGCAATGTGGTGCATTCGGCATGAAAATAATGCACCAAGCAAACTATTCAAGCACAATAAAAACTGAAAATAGAAATAAGTAGTGTTAGTGACCATCCGCGTAATGTGTTTTAATGGTGGAATATGTTTGTGAGATAATTCAAAACAACTGCTGAAAGTTAAACTTGTAGGTAAACAACCTCTTCTTGGTTAAGAATATGGTATAGGTGAATTTATGTGCAGAACGTTACTTACTCTACAAAAATTGCAAATTAGCCTGTATGTATATAAAAAGGCAACAACACTAAGCTGCCCGATGTGAGGGTGGAATATCAGCAGTAACAATTAGCCAGCTAGCCAGTGAGCAAATAGTAAAATGATGTCTGGCTAAACAAGCAACTTTAGCTAGCTTGAGTTAGAGCCGTTCAGGTGTTAAACAGAAACAGGTGGCTGTGATGAGCAGGGCGGTTCAGTTGTTAGCACGACTGGCTCACAAGCAAACACCTGTGGGCACCAGCTCTGTGTAAACGTGAAGAGCGGGCCCACCTCCCAACCCACCTGATTCAAAACGGCCGTTGCTCAGCCGATGTCCACCGTTCTCAGACGCTGGGTAAAGATTCCACCTCCGGCCAGTGTCCGGTGTTTTAGTTGGCTAGGAGCTCTCTCCTCATACAAAAGTCAAGAAAAATGTGTCCAGAGCGACAGCGAGTACTCCCAGGATCCAAGCGACAGCGTGTTTGCCGAGGAAAAATCACGTCTGAACACCGGTTACAAACTAAAAACTGCTCCTTCTTTTTCCACCGCTGCGGAGGTAGCTTCGGTGTTTCCTGCTAGGCTAAACTTCACTGCTAACTCCTCCCTTATGATGCATTCAAGTGCACCTTGTAAACCCCATGCACATATCAAGTCCCGCCTCACTTCCGCGTTCTGCTCCAAAAGCTTCCTAGGCTCAGTGCAAATTATTCTTATTATGCTACACTACCGCATTACCACTTTATCATTGTGACTTCAATTTAAAGACCCAATAAATCTGCGCTCACAATAGTTATAGTCCAGCTGCAAAAGCAATAGAGAGAGAGATGTGCTATCACTTTGTTAGGTTGTCCAGCGTCTCTCTGTTTCGGACAGCCTTTTAAAGCAGCAACCGGGCAGTAGTTACATACAAACATTCAGTACAATTTATATACACACACACACACACACACACACACACACACACACACACACACACACAGAGGAAGTCAGGTTATTGAAGGAACTCGGTGAATTAACAGAAAAAAGGACCATATATCACCAAAACTCGTGTTTACAGGTAGCTGAACAGTACTCTGTTCTCCAGTTTGGATACCACTCTGGGTACACTGTTACACCGTTACAGTAGGCAATGAGTGGAGATAAACTGTGGACAGGAATGCCATCCCATTGATAAAGCTAATACTTTTATCTTAACTTTCACTTCAGTCTAAAAGAAGGTCTATAACAGCTTCAGCGCCAACCATTAAGGTTCCTCCAGACATATTTAGACATATACAAATAGTATGCTTGGAACAATATAGACAGACATAGAATCTCTGAATATGCAAATATTGTTCCTTTCTAAAGTTTTCCTGTTGGACACATTCTCAGTGGATGTGCACTGGTGGCTTCAAGTTTCTACATCCCACTGTACAAGTTGATACTGGACCAGGATGGACTTCCTAACTATTTGTGATGTCACAGATCATGCTGGTAGGCCCCGCCTCTTAAAATCAGATTTTTAAGGAGCACAGAGAACCTTTCCACTTTCAGCAGATGAATGTTAAACCATCCTTGTAGAGTCACACTCTGCACAGACAGCATTCAGACAGCACACTGTAGGGACGAGAAGAATGTCAGATTGTGGAAAAGAGGGAGAAGTTTTGCTTATTAATATTTTACAATCAACACAACAAAGTATGCTTTAAAATCTTGTTTATTCTCACAAATCCAGTATACAGTTTATCTTGATTATTGGATTTTGAACATGTGCATGCTAAGATAACTAGTGAATAAGAAAATAAGACTTCCAGTATAACCTTTAAAAGCAAAGTGCAAACAGTTTCATTTATTTTCATTTATCTGAAGACAAGAGCAGACAACAGCTTCACTAAATTAAATATTCTAAAGCCCCTATATACCCATGGCTCCCATCTCTACAGGTGTTTTCACTTTATGTGCTAGCTAGCTATCAGTTGGTCAGCTAACATTACCCAAGCTAGCATAACTACTAATTTCTAACATTGTTAGGTTTGTAACGTCTGGACTTGATGCTGTATCTGAACTATCTTTCTTGGTTCTGATGGGTTGCTTTCATTCAGGCCTGGTGGATTCTTGCAAATAACCCGCTAGAGTAACTGTGGTAACAATAGCTAACATGTGACTCTGTGGTGGCTCTCTAGCTCATGAAAAAGCTGAACCAACTCTGAGCCAGCACGAGCACCAGCCCAGAACCAGCACGAGCACCAGCCCAGAACCAGCACGAGCACCAGCCCAGAACCAGCACGAGCACCAGCCCAGAACCAGCACGAGCACCAGCCCAGAACCAGCACCAGCCCAGAACCAGCACGAGCACCAGCCCAGAACCAGCACGAGCACCAGCCCAGAACCAGCACGAGCACCAGCCCAGAACCAGCACCAGCCCAGAACCAGCACGAGCACCAGCCCAGAACCAGCACGAGCACCAGCCCAGAACCAGCACTAGCACCAGCCCAGAACCAGCACCAGCCCAGAACCAGCACGAGCACCAGCCCGGAACCAGCACCAGCCCAGAACCAGCATGAGCACCAGTCCAGAACCAGCACCAGCCCAGAACCAGCACAAGCACCAGCCCGGAACCAGCACCAGCCCGGAACCAGCATGAGCACCAGCCCAAAACCAGCACGAGCACCAGCCCAGAACCAGCACGAGCACCAGCCCAGAACCAGCACTAGCACCAGCCCAGAACCAGCACTAGGTTCACCTATTGAGTCGGTCTACTTTTTGGGGCTGTGTAGATAGTGTATAGTGGCTTTATTAGCACTCTCTGGGGGGTTTTCTGCTGAAATCAGCTGCCTGTTGCTGCCAGAAGCACGGTTAATAAAAGCGCTTAGAGTTAACATGATTTATTCCATGGAAGTAATATAAAATGTAGCCTGTATTCACAGTACATACATGTCCTAATTATACAAACAGCTGCCACAAGTTATCGTGTTAAGCACCAATTTTCTATTTACGGTGAAGGCACTTTTTCCAAATAAACATAATGCTTTTCAATTAGTTCCAATCTGCATAACAGCATATTATTTTATTCTTATTAGTGAAAATTAAATAAACAATCAAATAGTAAAGCCTGTAAAGAGGAATGAATCTGTTGTGCTCATACAGCAGAGATGTGTAGGCAGAGGTCAGGACAGACTGAGAGCCCGAGCTCCCTCTGAAGGGGTTGTGACATAGAAAGTCGGGGTTCCTTTGTATCGCTCCTGTTTAGGAAGAAATAAAAAAAACATACAAACACACAAACAATTAGTACATTAAACCACCTCCAACCAGTAATGAATCTGTAACAAATCACAAAATCTGAGATCTAAGCATTATAGTTGTGTGAGTATACTGATGTTCCTGTGCAAAACAACCATAAACCCAACTGGCTGCAGAACCATTCACATTTCTCACAGTGTGAGGAAGGAAGTTCAGAGAGGGAGCAAGAGGAAAGAACCATTGGGTTTGTTTTTGCAACTAGACACCTTTCCTCTTCAGCTGAGACACATCTTTCCCTCCTCCGAACTTCCTTTACTACTGCTTCCTCCAAACTAAAATTACACACTCGGCCCATCACTCATCTGACTCCCCCTGTGAGTCATTCAAACGGATATAACCCTCCCACGAGGAAACTTTAATTAATCATGTAGTTCTGTGAATAACCTAATTTCAATGTGTAGGTGTTGATTGTTTTAGTAGGTGGCAAAAAATTATTAGCTAAATCGAACTAAAGTTTCATCTTCCTATTCATGCCAATTACCAAAACCTTTCCCTTCAAAATCAGTGCCAGTAAAAGGGAACTAAATGAGAGCCACAATATAACTATAACACATGTTTAGGCTAAATTCGTAGGTGTAAAATGGGGTTACCACTACGCCTACTACAACACCTCCTCAAAAATGAAACTACACGCAGCGGCTGCGGTGGCTTCGGAGATACCATGTGCGAACAGGAACTGTGACTGGTCAACTGTGGCTGCTTGTGTTTTCTCTTTGTCTCAGTAATGAGACATGGTTGTTACTTTGCAGCAACTATAATTAGAGTATAAAAGGAAGAGTTCCAACATTTTGAAGAATAGACTTATTAGATGAGATTCAACACACTCATGTCTGTCCATTAGCTGGAGCAGGAGTCTGGAGCTGATTAGCTAAGCTTAGCATAAAGACTAGTAAGAATGGGAAACAGCCAGCCAGAACAGATAAAATTCAAATTGTTTCTTGGCAATCAGCCAGTCTCGCTGTCAGCTGGTTGCCTGGCAACCTCGTGGTGATGGTGAGAGTCCGGGAATTTATTTTTTTCCCCCGTGTCTTCCAGTCTTTGTGCTAAGGTAAGCTAATCACCTCCCAGCTGCTGCTCCATAGTTAAAGGTACCCTGTGGATTTTTTGACCGCTAGGAACACCATGGAGTAATTCAATTTCAATTCAATTCAGTTTTATTTGTATAGCGCCAATTCATAACAGAAGTTATCTCAGGACACTTTTCAAATAGAGCAGGTCTAGACCGAACTCTTTAAAACATTAATTACAGAGACCCAACAGTACCACCATGAGGAAGACCTTGGAGACGGCGGCAGCAAGGAAAAACTGCCTGTAAAAAGGCAGAAACCTAGGACAGACCCCGGCTCTAGGTGGTCTGTCTGTACCAGTGTACAGGATTTAGTGGCGGTGAAATCGCAGATTGCAACTAACTGAACACTGCTTGTGTCTGTATTTGACGACTTGGGCATGAGAATGGGCTGTAAAGTGTGTAGGAGAAACTATGGTGGCTGCCAAACTTGTGAAAAATGTGAAAGGCCCTATCTAGAGCCAGTGTTTGGTTTGTCTGTTACGGGCTAGAAGAAACATGGTGGTTCAACATGATGGACTCTAAAAAAAAGATTTCTATATGCAGGTGATTATACACTGGGCCTTATTGTACAAAAACACAACCAGGCTCAGCAGCCTCCCAGTGAACACGGCTGGACCAGGATCAAACTCCTGAACTCAAGTCCCAGTACATCACCTCTGCTGGCTCCAACAAACTGTCATGTGAGGACCATAATGCCATACTAGAGGCTTCAAAATGGTACTCCACAAACCAATGGGTGACGTCACGACAGGTTTAATCTAGAGCCAAATCCAGAGGAATAAGAAAACCATCTCAATACTGTATTCCCTGTTGTCAAACTGGCCTCAGTCAGTCTTGGATGCTGTGTTCGGTCCCGTAGTGGGGGTGTAACACACACTCTAGGAAAAAACAGTTAATATCTGCAAAAATGTGCAAAAACAATAAGCACTGCTAGTCGTTTAATTGGAACTTTAAGTCTGTTTCCATGTTGTGCAAACACACAAGGACCAGAAGCCGGCAACAGTAACGTGTCGAGCAATGTAGTTTTGTTACAGTCCACTGGGCACCTTTAATGTACAGCCATGAGGGTTGTGTCTCACAGAGTCTCATCAAACCTTCACTTTTTTGTATAAATAAGGGAAGACACAAATTTCCCAAAATGTTGAGTTTTTTTAACTGTGCTTCAGTGCTGTCAGACATGGACAAAGGAATCAGAAATCTACATAGGGGGCGCCCAGTTAGCTAAGTCGGTAGAGCTGGCGACCCATATACGGAGTTGTTGCAGCAGCCCGGGTTCGAATCCGACCTGTGGCCCTTTGCTGCATGTCATCCCCCCTTTCTCCACCCACCTTTCCTGTCTCTCTACAGCTGTCTCTATAAAAATAAAGACAACAAAAGGCCAAAAAAATAACGTAAAAAAAAAAATAATTCTACATAGACCATAATGTAATAAGTGGCAATGAGAGATTTTATTGGGGATCTACAGGGTTATTCAGGAAGCAGGAGCAAGTCCTGCCCCAGAGCTGCCACTGGCTGCAGTTAAGCTTTGCTGATAAACATTCATTAAACTGCAAAGTAAGTTTCAGAATCAGTCACTCATGCAGCCTGTGTGAGACCTGAGAACATTCTTGTTCCTTGATGAAATTATTTCCAAATCACTGCTGTTCTCCAGTAGAGCTGTCACTGCAGTAGAGCTCTATTTGTAACACAGAGTCAACATAGAACATTTCCACTGCAGACACCTATGTTTGAAAGCCCAAATGCCGTCACTTTAATGGATAGATGAAGCCAGTAATGTTTTAGATTCTATATGAAAAGGGCTAAGTTACATCCAAATGTTACACGCAAATGTTCACAATATGAAATGTCAGCATTTGTTAAAAACTTTAATGTAGCGGAGTTTATTTTTTACTATTTTGTAAACTATGACATGAGTAGGAAAGAGTATTAGGGTCAGGCACAAGGAGAAAATGAGGGGGAATTTGTATTTATAAAGTAGAATTTTGAGTCTTTTTTTTGTCTCATTTCGAGAATAAAGTGGAAATTTCTAGAATAATGTGTGGAAATTTCTAGAATAATGTAAACTACTACTGAAACGAAGTTAGGAGAGCAACTGATGCCTTTTTAGTTTTGTATGGTTTCTCCTTCTGAACAGACGCAATTTTAGGCACAAAGTCCTAATACTTATCACCATACTGTTTATGTGCTAAAAGAGAAATAATGTCCTTGAAACTGAAACTAATGAAGTATAATTTCACTAATTCATCCAGACATTTCAAAGACACAGCAGTGCTAGTAATCTGATTCATTCTCAAAAGTTCGACTTTTATCTTGAAATGTCAAGTTTATTCTCAACAGTTTGACTTTATTCTGAAAATACAAAATGAAATAAAAAATCCTTAATGTTCGTCTTATACCTGGCACTAACACATTAAGTTTGACTCTATTCTCAACATTTCAACTTAATTCTCATAATGAAAAACAGAAGAAAAAAAAAATCCAACTATTTTTTCCCCTTATACCTGGCCCTAACACTCCATCGTACATAAGAACAGACTTAAGAGCCGATCACACAGAGAGGCATAACTAGAAATGCGTTGCTTGCAAAACCATTGTTTTCCTATAGTATGGCACGCCTGGCGATGTATTACACCGTGCTTTTCATCGCAGGGCAGAGTCCACCACTCGTCAATGTCGCCCAGACAGCCAATCAAATCAAGCAAGATTTCGTTGCCGTTTAATACACTGGTAAATAGGCTAGCTAGCTAGTTAGCGAGCTCATTGATGGACTGAGGGGTATAGTGGGGGTTAAACCCAAGTAAACTCTGTTATCCACCTCTTTTAAATGATAGCCCGGTTGCACATACTGCCTCGCTCCACAGGCGCATTCGCTGTTTTTTTTCCCCCCCACGCTTTTTGCCAAGGCCTTTTTGAAGTGCCCTCTCCTCTAGCAATGCATCTCTGTGTGATTCACCCCATAGAGGCCAAAGACCAGAAATCTTTTCAATAACCTCATAATCTGTAATTACAAAATTACACTAACCCTAAGATTTGATTAAATAATCGAAGTCCTAAAGATAATTGGCTCAGTTGTGAGTAGAACCATCCACAGTTCATTGACTTGGCTTATTCTACAGCTTTTTAGTTTATGTTCTTCGCCCAAAGCTCAGCACTTGACAAGTCGAAGTGAGGTGCAGTTGAGAATTTCCGCTGGGTCTGGAGTCACCAGATCAACCTTGAATCCCTCAGCCAGAGACAACTTCAGCAGCTCCTCCACAAACCCCTGCATGTCGGTGATTTCACAGGTGCTCCAGTGCACGTTCATGATGTCGTCCGACTGCGGGACTTCTGGGTTAGAGACAATTAGCCCCCGGTAGCGCTGCTTGTCGTACTGGTCCTGCGGGAGTTCATCAGGCCTCGGCACCCACTCCAGTTTTAGCCGGTTCTGCCTCGGGTTGCATGGATGGGGGCTGGTGAGTCCCTGGGATGTCCTGTAGGAGAAGCGCTCACAAAGCAGAGCCAGGAAGGCTCTCCAGGTACAAAAGAGGTCAACTGTGAAGGCTCGCACAGAGCATGTGCGAAGCTCATAGTTTTCTGGCCCATGGCGCAAGTTAAAGTGGAGAACGCGGACCTGGAACGAGAGGGCAGAGTATGCTGACTACAAAATCTCCGGGGTGTACACAACAAAGAACCGGTCTTTCCATGTCTCTGAATGTGCAAATAGAGGCACACACACATCCTCTGCTCATCTACTGTATATACACTAAACATTAGCTCTAAAAAGTTGGTGAAGGCCACTATCTAAGACTGACTTTCTAACTAAGAGTTAAAGCACTGGTTTTCAAACTATGGTACGTGTACCACTAAGATGACCCTAGTGGTAACTACTATCAAAATACGTAAACTATGAGATTGCTGAAATGTAACTGAAAATAACTGTAATATTTTTTCTCTATATCAGCGCCTAAAATAAATGGTTCAAATACTGCAATCGTGGCTCCTAAAGGGAACTCTTGCAAAGAAAGGTGTGGATCAGGAGAACCTCTTTTCCACCAAATTTGGTCTGGTTCTTGAACTGGTTCTGTTCAGGATTCAGCAACAGTCAACCAGTGCCTGAATTGGAACAACAGGGGCCAGTACCCTTAATCAACACAACCCTAACCGTAATTTCTCGAAGTAAAAAAAAATTCTTAGCGCTAAGCTTGCTATTTGTTTACACAGGGATGCAATTTTAAATGGCCATTATTTTTTTCCCACCCACACTCCACACCTAGTCTACCTCTGATTGGCTTGGACCCTTAGATTTTTTCTAAACCTAATCATCTCATACCTAAATCTAACCAACAAAGGCAAGGGACCCTAGCCAATCAGAGGCAGAATAGGGTGGGAATGCCAGTGGGGAGTTCGTACCTAGACGAACCCTAGAGGTGGCGGTACTCATGGACAAAAATCAGAAGTGTCGCTGAATAAGGTCAGCCTATGCTGCTGTATTTTCATTATGGTGGTACTTGGAGAGCCTAATATTTTCCACGGTGTAAAACGTTTGAGTTAGATAAGATTGATAGAGTGACAGGTAGGCTATCTGTACATGACTTGTACAGACCTGTATCACTCTCAGACCGGCACATTGGTCTAACTTTAAAAACACGTACCTTGGAGTCAACATTCACCATAATCATGGCTCCTAGTGGCCCTCCTCTAAGGCTGAGAGGCACAGATGCCTCATAGTGCCGAATCTCCTCCAGCAGGGGCCGTATCTGGAAGAAGTCTGCCTCTCTCCGAAGCAGTTCCAGCTCTGAGAAGCCATGCGGCAGGTCCAGGGAGCTGGAGCGCAGGTAATTCAGAATGTACCTGAATACTTTTCCGTCACGGTCTATGAAAACATTTCCTCTGTTGTCTCTCAGCACTGGGATTTGTCCGGTGAACATAGCACCTAGCATCGAGTCCCGGCAGCGCGTCAGAGTGTCCAGGGTTGTGGTATAAATTTCTCCACCAACATTCAGTGGCACCGGGTCCTGGAGAGAATTCCTGTTGCTGTTGTCATCCGGCGAGTTGAGGTTCAACATGTTAGAGGCGATTTTTATGAAGCCTTTTCTGATGTTGTTGTTGAGGAAAAGGACCCTTCTGCTCTGGTCAGGAATGCTGAGGACTGAGGGATGTGGAAGTTTCAAGTGTTTCTTTTGTGTCCAAGAAAGTCTTGTTCCCTTTGAAAGTTAGCCACAGTAGTAGCCAGGATACCGCCAAGTTAGGAAAGATGCAAGGAATTCTGCCAAGTCTGCTTCCAAAGCTTAAGATTTATAAAACCGGAGTTTCAAGCCTATAAAAAGGCTGCTGCTCTCTTCCCTCTCACTGTTCCTTCGAAGTAAACATATCATCCTTAGAAATACAGCTGTTTCCCGTGTTTTTCTGTTTACATCTTTGTTGACGTGTCTCCTGTAGGATTCTGGTGTCAGCCAACAGCAGGCCTTCAGTCTGACTGTGTTAAAGCAGAAAGGCAGCGGGGGCTATAGTGACCAGACCAGCATGCTAATAACTGGACACTTCTGGCTCCGTCTCCACGAAGCTCGCTTTTATTCTCAGCTCATACCCCCTGATCTCTCACTCACACACACACACACACACACACACATTCACTCACACACACATTGGAGCTGTCTGAGCAAGACACGGGGGACTGGGCAATTTGTCTGAAATGCCCCCCCCTTAAAGTGACAGCCAGAACACTGAAAAGTGCTTTTTATCCCCAGTGAACAAATGAACAATGTCCTCAGACACTTTTCATTTCAAATACCCTTTGGAATGCAAAGATTTCCCAGAAAACAGAATCATAAAAACAGACACATTTCCCAACTAACAGCAAAATTGACTTTGTTGCCCCTGCTGTATTATGTTGCAGGAAAAAGCTAAATATTTAAGTCCATTATTGTGTACTGCAACAAATACGATCTATTAAAAGGTCCAGTGTGTAACATTTAGGAGGATCTATTGGAAGAAATGGAATAGAATATTCATAGGTATGTTTTAATTACTGTATAATCAGCGGACAAAATAGGAATCATTAGAATGAGCTGTTTTTATCTGCAGAGGTACAGGTACAGGTACTTCTACAGAGTCTGCCATGTTGAACTGCCATGTTTCTACAATAGCAGACAAACGAGGAGGAAATCTGCAACTTCGCCGCTAGATGCCACTAAATCCTACACATCTGTGGATGTGGTTCTAACATGTTACTGTCAGTCGGCTATCATTTGTGTTGCTATCAGAAGAGTAGTGTTCCAGGATTAATGTCAGCGTAATTTTCCCTTAGATGTTCACTAGGACTGCACAATTACAGTACACGTGATCTCTACAGCAGTGGTTTTATAACCTTTTTCCCTGAGGGACACTTTTTCTATCATATACTAAACTGACAACCCCTGACTAAATTACATATTTTATGGATATTTTATATTATATTCAATGCGTAACAATAACACGAGCGAACAACGGATAAATTGTAAAAAGTTATCTCAACAAGTGCTAGGAGTTTGTAAAATAAGCAATTTGGAAGAATTATTTCCTGTAAATATTGTTCAGAGATTAGTCTTCCTGATGTTTTTAGAAATGTTTTATACAATTCTCTGTCTGTATCATGTTTTTGTTTTTTTTAACAATCACACATACTAATAGACTTCAGTGTTTTCTTCTCCCTGATGCTTGCTCTATTAGCTCACTTCTTTACTGCAGGACGAGGACATATAGGCCTTATTCTTTAAAGTTTTTCTACACACCTCCTAGTGGGGGTCTGACTCCCAGGTTGGAAAGGACTGCTTCAGTATATAATGTATATGTGTGTTTGTGTGTTTTTACCTGGATGTGTAGTATAGTCCTCTCGATGGCGTGGGCCTGCAGCAGAGTCACAGTGCATCCGCCGAATCCTCCACCTGTCATCCGGCTGCCAAACACCCCCTCCACCTCCATGGCTGCAGACGCCAGCTCATCCAGCTCCACACAGCTCACCTCGTACAAGTCTCTGACACGGGGACACTGAGTTACCTCACAATTCAATTCAATTCCATTCCATTCAGTTTTATTTGTATAGCGCCAAATTATAACAAAGGTTATCTCAGGTCACTTTTCAAGCAGAGCAGGTCTAGACCGCACTCCTTGTAAAATGATTTACAGAGACAGTTCCCACCATGAGCAAGCACTTGGCGAATGGCGGCAAGGAAAAACGTACTGTAAAGTAGGGAAAAACCCTCGGACAGACCCCAGCTCTAGGTGGGTGGCCATCTTCCTCGACCAGTTGGGGTCACACCGGACTCATTCTGTCCAAAACACCTAGGTGAAACAGATGTTAGCTGTACCTCAGGGAGTTGTGGCTCTCCACCATGAGCTTGCCGAATTCTTTGTAGGCTCCTCTCTTCAGGGCTTCAGCGGCTCGGGCAGTCCTGTCTATCTCCTCGATCACATGACGAGCTCTTTGATAGGTTACGTCATCCAGTCTGTCCTGTGCCTCTGAAATTACAGAGGCGGTCAAAACTGCACGATAAATGGGGTTTAAGAGGTTTTATACATCCAAAGATCTTCTATAAAGTAGTTCTGTAGCACAACTGACCAGCTTTAAATGTAAATGAAATGTCAGTTGAGATGTATAGAGCTGTACTAAACAGTTCAAAGCTTAGTTCGTAATGTTGACATTTGAATTATAAATCAGTGTTCGAATGCTGCGCAGGTCTGACTTATTTTTGGTTTAATAGTGTTGTTTTTGTATAGACCCAGGCTAACTCGTTCCCCTTGTTTCCAGTCTTTATGCTAAGCTAGGCTAAACGTGCTTACCACTGACATATACAAAGATGGACAACATGACAGCGCTCTAGTAGTGAGGCCAGAACATCTCCATTGCCCTCTGGTGGCTGACTGTAGTATAGGTCATAAAGCCTGCTGCCTCCATATTAGCAGAAGAGACATCAGTTTTATACGGTGGCCGACAAGGGCAAACGTGCCCCAGACGGGCAAACGCGCCTCAAACGGCAAAACTTTGCAAACACAGGAATGATGCAAAACACACAAACACATAAAACAAATGCAACAGAAAAATGCAGCAACAGAAAAATGCTGCAAATACCAAAAACACACAAAACAACAAAACAACTGCGAGAGAAACGTTGCAAATTCGCTCCACAAAACGGAAGGGGGGACCCGACCTGAGGGATGGACCAGTCCTGTGGGACCAGACACGAAAGACATCAAGAAGAAGAAGAAGAAGAAGAAGAAAGTTGGCTAAGTTTTGGAGAGGAGAGTAAAAAGGTACGTTTTCCTTTATGTCTTTTTTAAACACTTGGCTGTAATCTTTTATAATATGATAATATTACAATAATAATATTAAATCATATTAAATCATATTATTATAATATTATAGAGGAATATTATAATGATGAATATTCTTCTATAATATTATAATATAATTATAATATTATAACAATATTATAAACGATTACAGCCAAGTGTTTAATAAAGACATAAAGGAAAACGTACCTTTTCACTCTCCTCTCCAAAACTTAGCCAACTTTTTTAGTTTTTGATTTGCGTCATTCCCGTGTTTGCAGCGCGTTTGCCCTTGTCAGCCACCGTAGTTTTAAACAAAAAAATGTAATTACACATCAAAGATATTTTTCTGTCATGAACAGGTAGGTAGTTCGTATCACAGTGATGCATGTTCAAGTGTTCATTTTTCTTAAGTAATAAGTTGAGTTTTAATTAGTTATTTGGGGGTTTCACTTCATGATTGATTTTTGTACAGTGGGAGGAAGTGGAGACGCAACATCCATCTTTTATATATCCATCTCTGTACTTAACACACAGACATAAGTCTGATATTGATTTTCATCTCACTCTTAAAAAAGCATTACACAACACAAATATTTCCAAAAATGTTGAATTTCCTTTGAGGGAAAGAAAAAGAACAGCACCAAATCACTGGAACATAGCCAGTAGTATGAGACACAACCAGAGAGAACTGCATCAGTGGGATGGAAGAGGATATGATGGGGAAGGAATCAGGAAAGCAAGCAAGTCCAAGACAGAGGATAATAAAATAAGACAGAATGGATCGGCACAGGATAATAAAAAATATACTTCACACCCTCCAGGTCCTTCATGGTAGCATCTCTGAGACTGTCCTTTCCCAGGACGGAGGCAGCCATCTCACACTGTCTGCGTCTCATGGGGTACTCACTGCCGGTCAGAGAGTGTTTCACATTGGAGTTGGTGATGAGAATGACCAGACCTGGATCTGCCAGGGGGACAGGGGTGGCCTCCAGGGACCTGAGTCAAACCGCAAACAAGTACACAATTCACAACAGCGGACATAAATACACAGAATGCCAAAACATGCCAACAAGAGGAAGCAGTAATCTCGATGTTACCAAAGATTCTGGCATTAATGTACCCTCACTACCTGCAGTCAATGAGCAGAGCATGCCCCTCCCTGCCGAGAACAGACACAAACTGGTCCATAATGCCACAGGGTACACCACCATGAGTGTGTTCTGCCTGCTGACAGGCGACTGCTTTGGAAACCTTGTCTCCATCATCTGTGGAAAAGAGACAGAAATGTCAAATAGATAGTAGAGATCAATGATCATATACCTGCCCTTGGAGGGCCAAAAATGAAACTTATACAGTAACTTCAGTATTTTTCAAACTGGACTCCAAAGTACATCCACTAACAGAGTTTGTTTTTGCCACTGACAGGCTCAGATTGTTATTCTAAGCTTCTGACAACATCATGGAAAAGATCCCTACAGAGAAAGAGCCGTTGTATCGCTGAGTTAAAGCCACTGAGAAACAGAATATAAATCACCAAAACCTTGGTTTGTCTTTCCACCGTTCCAACAATCACCAACTGTGGTTTGGTCGAAATAAACTCCAGTGTGTATGATTTAGTGGTCCTAGCGGTGTACTTACAGAATGCAACTCCCTCGCTTCAGTGTTTTTTTAGCATTTAGCTGCAGCGGATTTGTGAAAATACCATTAGGAGCACTAGGAGGAGCCAGAGGAACCTGATTGTTTCACAGATTATCTGTCTCATGTACTACTGTCAGGATATAGTGAAAGATTTAACAAATATGACAAAAAGATATTATTATAAAAATTACCTACTGCAGCTTTAATTTTTTGCTAGAAATATCTGTTTGGCCAAATCAAACCTTATGGCGCGCCCCACTTTAGCCCTGCTGTAGGTAAATCATTAGGTATAATAAGTTAAGTAAAGTTGAATATTGAGACCATCAAATGCAGCAAGACTTCAAGTGTAATTAGGCAATATCAGTTTATATTAACATCAATACATCAGTTTGCCAATTTGTCGATCAAATATTAGACTTTCCTCGAAAATCACTGGACACTAACTATCTCTAACTAATAACTATCTATCTGACATAACCCACTCACTGATTATCAGAGTAACACTGGAGAGTCTCTAATCAGATTCTGACCTGGCTTGAGCTGCTGCAGGAATGTGTAGAAAGCCACTTCCAGAGAGGCAGAGCTGGACAGACCTCCTCCCAGGGGTACACTGCTGGCTATCACCGCCCTGAAACCTGGGACAGGAGGAGCTGAAGCACACCAGAGACAGACCGAGAGAGTGCACATTAAATAAATATCCTGTGGTATCCAAACAAGGCAGGATAAAAGAACATTTGTGAGATCAACAAGCTTCTGCTTTACATCTGCTCTATTTCACTCTGACAGGACATGATTCACTACCACGAGGTGAAAAATGAAAAATAAACTCCTTTTAAAGTTAAAGTTTCTTTTTCAAAATTAGAATACCTGAGTGTAATGTTTTTATAGCTGTGTACAGTCATTGCTCATTTGTTTACCCCTGTAATGGCATATAACACCCTTCACATAGTTTGCCCAGCTGGGTAACCCTGGAGACAGTGGCGATCCATCACTGGACAGGCTGAAGTCCACCCTCCGCGGCTCATCAGCATCTTCACTTGCTGTTACCACGGTAACATCCTGGCCAGAGGTCTGACGCCCTACCACCACAGTCACCAGGGGCAGCGCCTGGCTCATCAAACAGAGACACATGCATCTGGGTGGTTATCTTCTCCTCTGTGTCAGAGAGGACACACCCTGCCAAGCTCCATTTAAAAAATCAGGAAGTATTCAGTTTTATGCTTATTACTGGAATATGGAACTTTAAACTATGTGCTTATACTTAGTTCTGCTTTTCTGATAAATCCGGCAAGTAAGTGACCCACCAGACAGCAGAGGAAATCTTGTCATTTTAAACTCCAACATTGTTATTACTGCAAGATTACAAGTCAGTGCTTGAAGTTGCATTTCTTAAAATAACTTATAGCTGCTGGGTGCACTTGCATGCCGAACAGTAGACACCTTCAAACTGTTTGTGAAGAGCCCCAGAGGCATATCATGAGAACATGTTCGAGCAGGAGAACATTTAAATGCCACATTATTTGAATGACATTTGGTGCGACGATGATGTTCCGCTTGCTAAAGCAGCGAGTGAGCGGTCATGTTACCATTGGAAGAACAAATCCCTGGTTGTAGTCAGTGTGCTCCCCTATCAGGTTGACTCTTCCAGGAGCACACACCGCCGTCTGAGGAGCCTCTTCCCCGAACTCCTGCCCGTACAAACGCCGAGCCTCCGCAACCAGCCCGGGTACAGTTGGAAGGGAGCTGGCCATGGAGCAATAGCTTATACACTAATATATCTATAATGTATCAAATAAATGATATCAAATGATATCAAGACGCTGAAACGACCTGTGTAACTCACAAAGTGGCACATGCAACAGAGTTATTTTGACAAGTCAGTTGATTTTCACTTCCTGGTTGTGTGGCTAAATAGTTTGTTGTGAGGTTGTGATTGGTGGAAAGAGGTCATATGACACATCCACTTGCTCTCAGGATTTTTGAATGGGAGTGTCATGAATGTTTTTTTTGTTTAGATGAATTTATTGGAAATATAGTAAGTGAAATAAAGTAATGTGCAACTACAAAATACAAACAAGCACATTCCATTTTACCACCACAGTGACGTTACATCATCGTCGATCATTCCAAATCATTTTAAATTTAAAGGTAGCAATACACAACAATATATGATGCACAATAAAGTCAAGAAATAAACCTAAATAGGTCAACGGAAAGGGGCCCAGATACCTTAAGAATAGAATTAAAAATAAAATAGAAGATAAAATATAAAGTATTAGATATAGATATATATATATATATATAATATATAAAATTAACACTAACTACAATAAACGGTGCAAACAGTAAAATGTTGTATGTATACTATACATGCTATTTTATTTTATTTTCCATTTCCAAATGATATCTGCCATCATTTGGGGAAGGGCGATCCAGATATGGCATATATAAATGCCTATATACAACACACGGGAAAAATACTTTCCCATCCACCCCATCTGACATTTCCTTGGCTGCTTTACACCACTAAGGAGAGCTAATGCACAGGTACAGTATATAGTCATTCAGTTCACACATAAACTACCCTGAGAGATTGAATTACTGAGACAGTGAAACCAGAGACACCTGAAGGATTTCTTTGTTCTTTTTTTTCTGACACTGTCACTGTGAGTACACTGGAAGTCTGGGGGTGAACATTGTTTCCCCACAGTAGATGCACATGTAAGGTTTAGAAGTTAATTCATATATTTAAGGTAATTTACTAAAAATATATTGACAGTTTTTACACAGTTAACTATTTACATTTGTGTTTGAGTTATTCACATATTCACTTATTCATCTTTAAAACAGCTACAATATCATGCAGAATCTACCTCCTACCTGTGGTTTCTCCTTCTAATTTCTGATTGGTTAGTTCAGTCACATGATGGTCAGAAGGAGGAAGTGTTGTTGTGAACTTGATGAAGAACAGAAAAGTGTTGCTTTATCTGTCTCCATCCTGCTGTTTCTTCTCATAAAGAGAGCTCCAACCACCACACATCAAACCCTCGCGTTACACACATTAGACCACATTGAGAGGATTTTGTCTTGAGGAATCCCCTTTGTGTACATTTTTTTTTCTACGTTTCAAAATGAAGTCACAATTAATAAGTCACATTACAATAAATACCTATACCTTGTTGTTCTAACTTCCAAAAAATAATACAAATAAAAATGATAAAACAATGCAACTGACCCACTGAACAGCAGATGAAATCTTGCCATTTTAAACTACAACATTGTTATTACTGCAAGATTACAAGTCAGTGCTTAAAGTTGCATTTTTTTTAATAACTAATAGCTGCTGGGTGCACTTTATGCAAGATGGAACTACTTTCACAACACCTTTTCCAGAGACATGAGAAAGGACATGGCAAACTTCAGAGAAGACGTCAATTGCAAGTTAAATTAAATTGCAAAATTCTGCGTATCCTTCAACCACCTATACCAGCCCAGCAGAGGCGATGGAAGATTTGAAGCAGAGGGGATTGATCGGGGAGAGCAACGGAGAAGAGACCCCTACTGCATCTGCACCTATAGAGAGGCTGAAGAAAATCTCAGGTGGGACGGTGAGCACAAAAAGGCAGCGAAACCTAAAGCCCACTGGGAGAGAGCGCGGAAAAAGCTTCAGGAATTCTGCTCCAACAGCAGCTCCAAGTAAGACTTAAAGTAGATATCTTGATTATAGAAGTCCTTTCTTCTGAGTGTATGTTCCTCATCTCAAAGGGCTTCTGCATTTGAGGGAAGTAACATTGCTTAAAGTTTATAGACCACCAGGACAGAACAAATTACTAATTAAGAAAATATTTGATATAGTCGCTACAGAAGTTTCTGGTATCCTAAATTGTGGAGGGGACTGGAATGTACGGCTGCACCCCAGCTTAGACCCCAACATCCTCACTCCCTCAGTCATTATACTGTATGTAACAAAAATGCTTAAAGGGATAGGTATGAAGGCGGTGCTGAGAGGAAAACTTAAAATGTGGCCCTCAAGAAAGAAAAAAAGAAAAACAGAATGACCAGACTGACTTGACAAATAAATTGAAATGACCCCCAAAATTCTGAAACAAATAAATGCAACGAAGCAAAGCTTAAATCAGATACTTGACAAACTGGTGGAGATTAAACTCAAATATATGAATATGAATACGAGAACGGGCCCATAGCTAAAACAATTCTAGCATGGAAACTACACAAACAACAATCTGACTAACTAACGAAATGTGATATAAGCCAGAAGACCAGTCTTTTTGGAATCTGAAAAATGGGTAACACAAAAAATTACAGAAGCAGAGATTGATGTCATATCAAGACTTAGACGACTAGAAAATATCATTCCTGACTCGACGGACACCGACCAAACAGGATTTATTAAAAGCAGGCAGACACAAGATAGAGGCGAGCTTTATACCTGATCGACCAGCATGTCACAAAAAGGAGAGGACGACACGTGACTTTCATTCAACAAAATATAAGTGAAACCTATGCATCAATAAAGAAAAGTCACCAAGAAAAGTCTAACCCAAACAACAAACCATATACCAAAGAAGAGAGAAACTGACTGACTCCTCTAGCTTATATAGCTGAGGAGCTGCACTTCCTGCTTCCCTCCGAAAAGGGAAAGACAGCCCCAACAGGAAGTCAAGAGGGCTTTCACAATAGTATGAGTAAAAGCAGTTAAAGTCTCTGTTAATTAACCTTGATGCAGATGCTTGTATTACAGCGTTTCAGCTTTAATGATGAAGTCATAGGATGTCTCCAGTCCCTGGATCACTCACCAACTGCCTGAATTAAAAGCAATGGCAGGTTAATCTAGAACGGGGCTGCCGTCAAGGATGTCCCTTAAGCCCCCCCTTTGCATTATTCACAGAGCCACTTGCTCAAGCAAACAGATTTTAGTTAAAGAAGAGAGCCCAAGATATGTCTATATGCAGATGATGCCTAAACTCATGTCCCTTCTTGAACATTTTGGTTTTTAATTAGAATATAAATTAAATATACATAAAACCCAAACCCTCTGTTATAACTAGTCACCCCAAGAGACCATATGTATAAAGTACAACTTCAAATGGAAAACTTACATTATTAAATATTTTAATATACCAAAAAATCTGACCAACATTTATAGTATAGTAATTATAATCCAATCCAAAAAGATAAGGGAGGGATGTCTCTTCCATGCTTAGAAGATTACTACAAAGCAGCACAATTGGGATACTTAGGCTGCTGTTGCAACGATGATTATAATGCAAAATGGAAAGAGCTAGAATTAAGCCATTTGGATATTTCCCTGCAATCAATGTTGGTATACATTCAGATAATAATATAATGATAATAATAATTATATATATTAATCATAATAATAATATCTGGTTCAAAGAAGGTAAAAAATCTCAAACTGGAGAGGAATTCTAAGAATGGTGATTTTAAACCTGCACTACTGGATTTGAGGTTTAAACAATGGATTTGGAAAGGCATTACTTCATATTATTTAATGTCAACCAATACAGGCTTGAAAAGCTTTCAGTATCTTACTGACACTCACAATTTAGGCACCACTTTGATAGAAATATTAATATTAAAGAGGAAACCGGACTGAGTCTCATCAGTGTTTTTATTGATGCATAGGGGCAACAGCCACAAGAAATTAATTTAACACTCAGGATAAGTATCTTCTTAAAATACTACTCGTAGCTAGCAAAAAAGCAATGACGAAGAACTGCTTGGATAAGGACCCACCAACAAAAGGAGAGTGGATGGCAATAATAATAGAGATCTAGAGAAACTGACCTTTTCTCTAAGGTTTTGTATCAATACATTCCATAAGTATTGGTCCAAATGGTGTATACACATCAATATATGTTAAAGATATTGCAAAGAAAAAGGAAAGGGGAAATGTTTTACTTTGTATTTATTCTATTTACTTATTTTCTTTTCCTTTTTTAATTTGAAAAAAAAAAGTATTTAATTTATTCTCTCCTTCCTCCTGGTTGCAGTCTACTAATACAATCATATGCATAAACATTTCTCCTTCATAAACATTTTCAAACCGTGCAGGGTTACCACTTCATCTTTAATATCATCTATTATTAAAACATCTTTATTAATCATTCTAATAATCTGAGTTTGCACCAAAGGTCTCATACACATAAGAAATAATAAACATAAGAATAAGAATTGTTTGTCTGTCAGTCTCCGGTTCACTGCTTTTCCTTCCTTGAACTACTTTTGATAGGTACTGACCTCTGCAGACCGGGAACACCCCACAAGAGCTGCAGTTTTGGAGATGCTCTGACCCAGTTGTCTAGCCATCACAATGTGGCCCTTGTCAAAGTCTCTCAAATCCTCTCTAAGGACAAAATGTTCACTTGCTGCCTAATATATGCCACCCACTGACAGGAGCCGTGATAACCAGATAATCAGTGTTATTCACTTCACCTGTCAGTGCTCAGAGTGTTATGGCTCATCAGTGTATGTCATTCATTTGCTCATTTGAGTCCATTTTTACATTCTTTAAATGAAATTCTTGAAGAGGGTGGCATCTTGCCAGCTGGGGATGCTGGCTGCAGATGCTGAAATCAACCTTATTTAGCTGGCTTTACAGAAAGAGCAACCTTTGTATTTTAAATACAGTTAAATAAAACATTTCCAGCAGTAAAACAAAATGGTTTTATTCTTTTATCATCAATATTACAAATATTAAATATCTACAAATTACACTCTTTTTTTAAGAAATCTCTCATTACATTTTTTAACAGTATTTGACAATACACATTAAGAACAGCACATGTTAACTAATAATAACAATAATAGCAACAAAAGGAAAAAGGAAAAGATGTGATAATACGAGAGTTGAAGAAAAAATGTAAATTCCATAGTCCAAGCTGACTAAAGACGCAGATCTGGACCACCTATGGACTGTAGTTCATGCACAATGTACGAGGACTGCGTGGGCCTTCACTGGGCCAGACCAAGTTTGGAATGTGGGGAACTTAAATTTGTCAAGGGCAACCATAGGACACATTGACTTGGTCTGCAAATGAAATTGTCATTCAGACTAGAAAATGCATAGTGCAGTCAGTGTTATTAGAGGAGTTTCATTTGAACTAGGAAAATCTATCACAACAAAAGGAAATGGAGGAGACAGATAATGAAGTATAAAATGCACATATCAATATACAAACTGAGTTAAGAAAGGCTGAATATGGAAATATGTGAGCACTTTAGAATGCCCAGCGTTAAAATGATATATATATGTAAATAAAGGAATAAAAAGAAAAAAACATATATGCATGTTTACAATATCCAGTAGTTTTGTCCACCCAAAGTGGAAAGTTTTTACACCTGACCACGTCTGTGCGTGGCTCTACTCTGAGGGCCCGGCTGTGCGGATGCGGCTAGTGCTACTGGAGGTCCCGCTCTCCCCTGGAGACGGCTGAGCTGGCTCGGTGTGCACCGCTTCCTCCTCCTCCAGGGGGAGACAGAAGTTAGTAGGTTTGTTCTGAAATATTAAAATATTCTTCTGTCACATTGGTATTTCAATCTCAAAGTTAAAAATCTAAGTTTTTTTTTTCCTGCCCAATGTTTCTATTTCCAATATAATTGGTACCAAAGGCAATGACATCCAGGAAACTTTTACAGAAAATGATCAATAAAATATGAGGATATTACAGATGGTAAAATAAAGCTTTACAGCTGTCCTTATCAAAATGCCTCCATGTTTGTGTGCTGCTCTGCATTTGTAGTAACCGTACCACGCTGGAGTCCTCCAGTGCTTGCATTATTGCTGCCACCACCAGGTTCACCAACACAAACTGGGCCGTAACAGCAAAGGTGCTGTAGTAGATTGGAGAGGCCCACGACAGGTAACTGGAACAGCTGTTATCCCCAGGATGGCACTCCCTCAGCGTGTCCTTGAGGGACACAGAGCAAGATTCAGAAAGGAAGAGGGACCGGCACACAGACTGGAGGCTACATCACACAACCTTTCTTACATTGAAATCTATCTATTGAAAAATATACAAATAAATAAAATATACACTGCTTTGACTGAGATGCAACTTGCTACCTTTCTGTTTGAATCTGTATTGTTTTCAGCCTTCTTGCTGAAACATCACTGAAAGATGTCTGATTGGGTCTGACTTTAAGGGGCTGAGAACTGTTCAAACTGACTGGATTCAGGAGATTTTGACTATGGCAACAGCTGCACGTTCAGATGCTGCGACCGGAAGGCTAGCTCCTGAAATCAGAGACTGTCGTGCCCTCACCTTTACAGAGACCTGCTCCATCGACATCCAGGATCAACACTCCACTGGTGGACCGTGTTTACCATATTAAAATCACTATCTTGTTGCTTCTGTTTACATTCCCACAGATGCAAATGATGACCTGCAGAATTATTTACTGGGTCGTTTACGTGTATATACGTATCTATATAAATAACTGTATAGATTGATTTATTATATTTTATTTTATATTAGATTTTCTTTGTCTGTGTGTAGCATGAAGGAACTACAAACCTTCATTTCATTATACAATCTTGTGTTGAATAATGAATAGATTTCTTTGATTCCTTCAAAATTCCTCTCTTTAGCCTAAAAGATCTGATGTTACAAGTTGGGATGCAACATTATTCTAACACTTCATGGATCTGCGATTTAGAATTTCCTGAGAAGTTTTGGGCGAAGAACAACAGGACAAGAACTACTTGGTGCTAATTACAGGGAAAATAAGGCTTTCATTGTAAACTCTGTTTAAACTCAATTAAGTTAATTAATGCATTTTTCATTCATTATAGCAAACACTATTCTTCCTACTGTTGAATCACATGCTGCCTGTTTTCCACTAATACATTCCCTATGTTACACTAGCAACTCACTGAAATTAATTATTTGGATTCAGGTCCAGCAGATTCTTGCAGATAGCATCAGGAGCACTAGGAGGAGCCAGAGGAACCTGATTGTTTCACAGATTATCTGTCTCAGGATATAGTGAAAGTTTCAACAAATATGATGAAAGGTTATTTTTAGAAAAGTTACCTACTGCAGCTTTAATTGACAAACCGTTGCAGCTTTCAGGGCAGTGTAAATGGACAACTATGATGAAGTTTGTTTACAGCTCTAAATAAATGCATCAGTATTTATAACATAACTAATTCTATTTTTTTATTTGATAATATTTGGCAATTTGTTGGTAAACTGTCAGGTATAATATCCCATACATAATTGGTTTAGGGCAGTGTTTCTCAAATGCGGGTACGTGAACCTCGAGGGGTACTTTGGAGTACTGCAGGGGGTACTTGAGATAGTTTTAATGTTAATTTCAAAAATATCAGTGCAAAATATATAATTCCTAAAATAATTACAATATAATAAGTTTGATAAACCAAATTTTATGTTATATTTTTCCATGCAATTGTTAACTAACTTATTATTAACTGTTATAAACTGTCACCTGCTGTCAAACCTCTGGAAAAGAATTGTCTACCACCAAGAATGACAAAGTGAAGTACAAGCTCAGTTTCTCACTAATAAACAAAAAAATTCACCATGAATGTAGTGATGGATTTTAATGTAAGATATAAGGTTTTTGTTCAATAAAAGTCTTGGAGTGACTGACACACCTCATAATCCATTTTCAATGGAGAGGCAAGCAGGCAGGTTGGGAGACGCTGACAATCTAACAGGGTGGAGCAACACGTGGGTGCGAGGTGGAGTTGAATTTGCATGAACCTTTTCCTACGCGCAGTAACAGCTATGAAGGAGACTGATCCTCGCTGTTTGTGAGTTTCCTGAACTATAGAACTGTTTTTAAACTGCTATCAGGGCATTAAAAGGAGGGTATCAGGTAACTTCAGTTTTAAATTAAGCTTGGCTAAAAGTTATGACTATGCTAATTTGGCTAGCTATCAATAATAAAAGTCTCTGGTTGGCCTCAAGACCACCGATTGCCATTAATGAAGAAAGTTTGAGAAGCACTGGTTTAATGTACATACAGAGCGTGTGTGTGTGAGTGTGTGCATACTTTCATAATGTTGCTCCAGTTGTCTCCGGTGCATACTTGGTAGAGTGTGAGCAGGGCCTTCCCAAAATGCTTGAAGTTGGCGTGCCGATTGAGAGCCAGGCACGGGTTATCCTCAGTACATTCTGAGGAACAAAGACACGCATTTATTGATCTGGACATGTTGGTTTCAACCAATAGCTGCTCCATACTGACAAATAATTTCTTTGGAGTGAGAAAATGTGTTTTTGAACTGATGTGGCCTTTAGTATTCATCCATATAGTTTACTGGAACTGTTTTATTAAAGGAATACTGGAGAAATTACGCTCTGGGTTGGCTATGTTGCTAGAGTTCCTTGCTCTCCTTGGTATCAGTGTGGATACTGGGCAAATATGGGATCAGCTCTGGGACCATGATCCTTTGCAATAAGCCCATGTGGATGCGTGTGTTCTGCTAGTAGTGTGGCTGACCTAGCTTGCCAAACAGCTCCACTCCCAGCGCATCATAGATAAAAAAGAAGAACATGAAGAGGAGGCAAATGTTTCCAACCTGGAATCAAAATGCATGTTAGATCCTCCTGCGCAAGCAACACTACAACGTAGATTCTGCTGACTGTATCTGCATACGTAACACACACTGAGCAGCCAATAGTGCTCAGTGTGTGTTACACTCCCTAGCTGGCGGTTTTTACAGGAAATATGTAAACATGCAGGAGCGAATAGCTCACCAACAAGACACAGATACTTCAGAATCTGCATACAAACATTCAAATATCCCTCAACTCAAGCATAAATGCAGCTGCAATGTGCTTATGCCAAAGCAAATGATTCGTACTCACTTTACATTTAAAATGAATCAGACAAAAGAACAGAGTAAAGGCCACAGTGTGTGTGTTTACCTGCGACAGGGTCTTGATAATGGTCTTCAGCAGAACTCTGATCTTTTTAGCCTTCAGCACTGAAGAGACACACAAGGAAGTTGTCATAAATAACACACTTAAAGCTGCAGTAGGTAACTTTTATGAAAATAACTAATATTGAAGCATTCAATATTGAATACTATATCCTGACAGTAGAACATGAGACAGATAATCTGTGAAACAATCAGGTTCCTTTGGCTCCTCCTAGTGCTCCTAATGGTGTTTGCAAGAATCCACCAGGAATAAGACTCAACAATCTACTACTGCAGCTTTAATTTTACCAGCTTTCTTACACAGATACTCCTTCAATAGCACTTTGTGTGTGTGTGTGTGTGTGTGTGTGTGTGTGTGTGTGTGTGTGTGTGTGTACCTTGTGCTAGTCTGAGTATTCTGAAGACCCTCAGGATGCTGGGGTTAATGAGAATAGCATCCGCCACATTCATCTCGTTGAAAATAATGCTGATGATGGACACTATGACGATAGCAACGTCCAGCAGATTCCAGCTAAATGCACACACACGCAAAAGTCATGTGACATTCAGGCACTTACAATATCAGACATGCAAACACTAACCATGAAACAGACGTCTCGCTCACTCTACCTGACATTTAAGAATCTTAGCACACCAAATGCCAAGAGCTTCAGCAGGACTTCAATGATGAGGATAGCTGTAGCCACATGGTAGGAATACTCCACAAGCTTCTCTACCCACTGAACACACACACACACACACACACACACACACACACACACACACAGGTTAAATAAAGACTTGATGCAAATGTTTTTTGTGGAAGTTCTACGCTTGCAACTCCTGTAGGCAGTGATTTAATGTGTGTGTGTGGATGCGTGTGTGTGTTACCTGAGGTTGATTATAATGTTCGAAAGCCATCACCAAGACGCTGAGGACAATTATGAAAGTCATGAAGAGGTCCAAGAAGTTGCTGGTACACAGTGTGTGGATAGACTGACGGATGGGGGAGTAGTGTGCGTAATATGGGGTTTCCACTGAAACACACACACACACACACACACAAAGATGCGGATATTCAGATGTACACAGACAGCCTTTCTCTCTTTTTTTACACTCTCACAAATAGACGTTCTCCTTACCCTTGCTCAGGTCTTCCCCTGCTTCTCCAGCCTCTTTTTGTGAGTGTTCGTCTCCTTTTTTTTGCTCCTGCTGACAGTGATGGAAAGTCTCCACCATGACGCCGACAAACATGTCGAGGAGAACGAAGCTCAGGACCATGAATGGAATGAAAAACAGAAGCATCCATTCATTGTGGTTCATCACAGGCTGACGAGAGAAGAGACATCAGATATTATTTTTCTCTTGTGCGTACAAATTCAATTCAATTCAATTCAATTTTATTTGTATAGCGCCAATTCATAACAGAAGTTATCTCAGGACACTTTTCAAATAGAGCAGGTCTAGACCGAACTCTTTAAAACATTATTTACAGAGACCCAACAGTACCACCATGAGCAAGACCTTGGCGACAGGGACAAGGAAAATCTGCCTGTTAAAAGGCAGAAACCTAGGACAGATCCTTCGGGTCTAGGTGGGTGGTCGTCTGTCTCGACCAGTACACAAAGACATTTATTACACTGCTGTCTTGTGAAGCATTTCTCTCTGCATACTGACATGTGCTTGCTGCTCCCTTTAATGTATCTGCATTTACTTCAGATTTGATGAAAATTCAGACTTGTGTAAAAACATAAAAACATCAGTGTAAAAAACAATATTAAGCATAAATACCTGTTTGTCTACTTCCGAAGCATCCAGTCCATCATACATGACGTTCATCCAGCCGTCCTTAGAGTACATTACAAACAAGGCCATCAGAGCCTGAATGGAGAATGGAAATATCTTGTTGTAAACACACAGAGATTTTCCAGAGGGCTCTTTCACAAAACCTACATAATGGATTAAGCCAGGATTTTCCAGTTATCCAGGACACACTACAAGACTTTCAAAGTTGTCAGATCTCTGTACTGTTCATGCAACACCACTATCTGTCTCATTAACAGGGGGTCACACACAGGCCTTTCACAAGGAGTCTGACTGGTCTCCACACTACGTTTCATCAGGAGTCATTAAGAACACCATTTATAACAAGCACATCATGTTTAATTAGTAAAGTAGTTTAAGGACAGGCACAAAGGGCAACCCTTTACAGCACACTGCCATGAGTAAAATAAGTTAAAGTGCATTATGTGTTGACAGTCTTCTATCAATTTGGCATCAATATAATACACAAAGATAAACTGCATTCTCTACAAACTTTACATTTTGTCGCTTTAGTGCGTTCAGCGTCTGTTGCAGCTGCCCTCTCTCAGTGGGTAAAAAGTATGGGAATGAGAGGCACACCATTTTTCAAGCTCTAAGATTTCTCCTTTTTTCTGTCCATACCTGAGGCAGACTGTCAAAGTTGTACGTCTTCCGTTTCCAGAGATAGTTGGCCGTCAGACAGTCAGACTTGCTGTTGATGTGTCGTATGTCCTCACCCACGCAGTGGTAGAACTTCCCCTTGAACAGCTACAGTTTTTGTGTGAGACAAAGACAGAGAGTTACACTGTGCTGACACCTTCTCAACCACAGATACAGAAACGAAGATACAGCGTTCTTTGCTGTGCGTCTGTGTGGTCACCTTATTGTGGAGGTCTGTATTAACAATACAGAGAGATTCAGACTTTTTGTCTGTAACTTGCTTTAAGGTCCAATGTGTAACATTTAGGAGGATCTATAGTCATAAATGGAATATAGTATTCAGATGTATGTTTTTATTAATGTATAATCACCTGAAAATAGGAATCATTGTTTTTTTCTTACCTTAGAATGAGCCGTTTTAATCTACAGACGCTGTGGGTCGCCATGTTGAACCAGCATGCTTCTACAGTAGCCCAGAATGAACAAACCAAACACGTTTTTCGCAACCACTATAGTTTCTCCTACACTCTTGGAACAGGAGGGGGAAGCGATGGCGATCTACAACTTCACCACTAGATGCCACTAAATCCTACACAGTTGACCTTTATTTCCAAACCGATTTTCATTAAATTTATGACCAGTGTTGGGCAAGTTACTTTTAAAAAGTAATTAGTTACAGTAACTAGTTACTTCTTCCAAAAAGTAGCTAAATTAGTTACTCATTTACAAATTAACAAAGTAACTAGTTACTTTAGAAAGTAACTATTGCGTTACTTTCAAGTAAATCTTTAAATGCTCAAATGTGACCCCACCTCCACCCCTCTTTAACGGAACTTAAAATACATGTGCATGTTCAATTATTTATGATAAATCTGAATATTATAATGAGATGGACACTTAAGACAATACATTATTAACAGAAACAATGTACACAAATCTAAACTATTTTAATGTTGCTGTGGGACAAAGTGAGACTAGCCTCCAATCAAATGCCATGTATGTAGATATTATGTTTATATAGTGGATCCATACAAATAACACAATAGATGTTTTGGAACTTTTGATATTTATTGGCCCTCAACAGGCCACAACTGGGCAAAATTAAATGATGCTTGTTAAGCACTATACCAAAAATAAATAACAAACATATACACTCTTTGTAGTGCAAATAAAAAAAAACTTCAGACAATTGGTAGATATACTGTACTTCAAGTATTTTCTTCCTTGAAAAAGTAGAACAGTGTAACAATATGAGGTGCTTTCAATCTAACTGAAAAGTACAATGTATAGTAAAACTAAGGAATCCAAATATAAACAGGTAATACATAAGAAATAAAAAATATATCTCCTTAAAAATAAATCTCTTTCTCTGGCCATTGACAATCTCACTTCAAGAGGCTGCAGCCAGCCAACAAATAAATCTAAATTAAATGATGCTCTTTAAGCAATGTACCAAAAATGTATTCAAACAATGTAATAAGATGCAACACAACTCGCCATACCTGTCTCTCGTTGACTGTCTCTCTTGTGTTGTTGTGTGTGTGTCTCTACCTCTGATTGGCTTACCATGAAATTTTACTCAACCTCAGCCAATCGTCAGCATTTATGTGCTTGTCTCGTGCACTGCCCACTAACCAAGGAAGAACAGTAAAAAAAAGTCTTTGCCTCTCGGCTCAGTTGGTCTGATAAAAAAACAGCTTCAATTATAGTAACGCGCCGCATTTTTTGGCAGTAACGGTAACGGCATTATTAAGATGGAAAGAGTAATCAATTACATTACTCATTACTGAAAAAAGTAACGCTGTTAGTAGCGCCGTTATTTATAACGCCGTTATTCCCATCACTGGTTATGACTAACCAAATTTCATGAAAATCGGTTCAGAATGAATACAGTTGGTGTTGCAGTGAAATAGATCTTGACCTCCTCAATATGGCATACAGCAGCGGCCAATGATCTGCGTTTGTATATCTATGATCTCAACTGCATCAAAGCTAGTCGGCCATTACTTTGTTAATGGGAAGAATAAAAGCTGTGTGTGTGTGTGTGTGTGTGTGTGTTACCTGCACCCCAAGGATGCCAAAGAAGAAGAAGAAGGCACAGCAAATGAGAACAATGTTCCCGATAGGTTTAACCGAGGCAATCAAAGCCTCCACAGCCAGCTTCAGTTTCGGGGCTCGCTTGATCACTCTGGAACACACAAACATAAACAAACAGACGTTTGTTAAAAGCAGCACGTGTACCCACAGACAAAAAACTGACATGAAGCAAGGTAGAATGCTTACACACACTAACAGAGAAAAAGAAGTACCTCAGGGGGCGAAGTGTGCGGAGCAGGCGTAAGACTTTAAGAATTCCCAGCCTGTTGTTGCCTGTGCTCGCCAGAGACACGAAGATGTCGACAAAAGACAGAAACACTAGCAAACCATCCACCATGTTCCAGGAAGACTGGCAGTAGTTCTCCTTCCCAAACAGCAGACCAAGAGCTAGGACCTGGTGTCAAAGCAACAATACAAGCTTCAAGAAAATGATTGATCCATATTTCAGTTAAAAATAATGTCATTTCACAATAGACAAGCCTCTACACTTAAAACTGCTGTTTACCTTGAAAATCATCTCCACCAGGAAGACAGCAGAGAATACGTAGTTGGATATATCCAGGATCCATCGCTCCTACAGGCCAGAGTGAGGGTGGTTTTTAACCTCTGTGTGTTTAGTACTGTCAATCTCATATCGTTTGTTTCATGAAGTACATGACATCCAGCTGTGTGTGTGTGTCTGTCTGTGCTTGCATGTGTCTGTCTTCATGTGTCTCACCATGCTCTGAGGGTCAATCTCAGGCCTCTCCATAGCAATGGTGACACAGCTCAGGAGGATGAAGAACAGAATCACGTGGTCGAACGCGGTGTGAGAGATCAAACGTTGCAAACAGACACGGAACCTAAACCGAAACACACGGACGCACACACACACACACACACACACACACACTTCAATTAAAATATCAGCAGTCAGTTAAACATGAGAAGAAAACTTTAAAAAATGATGACATGAAAAATAATCCTGTGTCCCTGTATTCATTGTTCAGTTATCTCTTGGAATATGACAAATGTGTCAAAGAGACGTTTTTGTTATAACGTGTTTGTTATAACTCATACACAAAACTCCCCATGCACTACTAACAACAGGTTGCTGGCTGGTTGCAGGACCATGCTCGTGACTGAGTCAGCCAGGCGTATGGGCGGGACTTAGATACTGTGGCACCAACCCCAATCACTACTGCGCAGACTCTGACTCTGAGTCATAAAGGGAGTGGCCATATCCAGGATATTTTGGTGTTATTTTTGTATAATGGAGACATCCTTCTTTTATATGTCAGTGGGTTCACCACATAGAATGCAATTTAATACCTGTTTCACAATCACACTGGCCAAAGTATGAATGCATGATGGAAAAGCAGATGATATAGCCTGCAATTGTTATATCAGCACTATATAACAATAATTCTTTATGATACAAGTTAATAAATGAATGCAACCTGGACCTGGAAAACAGATTATATTATTATACAAGTTTTTGCTAAAATTGACCCTTGCACATTATGAGCTAGCAGTAGTAAATCACAGAAACAGCACTGTTGCTGCATATGGCAGGCAAGTGTGTGTTTAGATCTCAGTTGGCATTACATTTGTTTAAAGTCTTATTTATCATTCATCATAAATCTATCACTACCATTACTACTTTTTCTGTGTTCTTTCTATGTTCTTACTAACAACTTATTGTGTGTGAGACTCACCTGTTCTGAGGAGAAAACACATAGAAAGACCATTCTTCATGGTCTTTGCACCAGGCGAGCACTCTCTGGATCAAACTCAAAGATCTCTGCAGGGGTGAATAGTTACACATCAGTCACCTCTCTTTATCGAAAGCATGAGCAAAACACTTGAAAGAAAGAACAACCGGCAATACTGAGGAGGAGTGGTAGCCCAGCAAAATGTTGCTAAGAATAGAGACAAAGAGAGATAATTAACTTCCCTCTTATAGGCCTTTTCCACCAACAGGGAACCGGCTCCGTTCCAGCAGCTAGTTACGGAGCATTTTGACCAAAAATAATAATAATAATCAGTTTGGAAGCTGAAAATATTTTTATATTTTATATTTGTTTTCTTGGGAACCGTGTCATATTCTACAGGGCGTTATGCATGGTACAGCGCCCTCTGTTAATGATATGAAAGATATACTTTATTGATCGCCTAGAGACAAATAGAAAAAAAAAGAAAAAAAGAGTGAAAAAGAACAATTTCCCCAATTGTTCTTTTTCACTCTTTTTTTCATATACACGCACACACAGGCTGAAATACACACTTCACACACTTGTGGACATGCAAAGGGGAGAGAGATGGTGGAGTGATGGGGCTGCACGTTACCAGTGCCTCATGAGCAGGTTTTGGGGTTAGGTTGCTCAAGGGCACCTCAGCAGTGCACAGGAGAAGAAACTGGCACCTCTCCAGCTACCAGTACACACTCCATATTTTGTGGTCTGTGGGACTCTAACCGGGGACCCTCTGGTTCTCAAGCCAAGCCCCTACACACTGAGCTACTGCTGCCCCGTGCATGCTAAAATAACATTAAAATTACATTGCATCCCATTACAATGAATCCACTCAAAACTTGTGGAAACGTGGGCTGGTTCACTGGATAGCACCAACGTTATGAGAATCTTGAACAAAGCTCTTTCAAGAACCAGAGCTAATTTGGTGGAAAAGTGGCCTTGGTGAACTTACATAGTCATCACTGGTGTCTGTGGGTGCAGTTTTGTCCTCTGGGGCTGAGCAGTCTTGGGTGAGTACTGAGGAACTCTGGAACAACATGAAAAAGAGTTGAGTAAAGGTGTGTGTATTTGAGCAAACACCTTGGTTCTCCACACTGCAACTGCTATGTCAACAAGGGAGAAGTGAAGTCGATTGCCATTACCCTCTCTTTGGATTCTGAAACACAATTTGAAATCTTAAGAGCTTACATTTGTCTCGTCATCTGTTACTGAAGAGATGGATTCTTCATTGGTAGACTGCAACAACAGGAAATAGAGTTCAGCATTGGTGTGTACATCTAGCTAACATCTAGCTTTTGAAGAAAATTAAGTCCTCACCCTATCCTGGAAGCTCTGAACAACAATGCCTACAAGTATGTTGAGGAGAACATGTCTTCCAATCACATTGAGTGCCACAAAGTAGAGAGCGGCCCACGGTGAGGTAGCAGCCATGGCGTTGCTTTGCACGAGATTCCAGTCCTCCAGAGTCAAAATCTGTATTGACAGATTAAATAGAAGAAAGTCACACACACACAGATTGGGGCACAAACTGCATGATAATGGAAAACAATGATGACGACAAAAAACTCTCAAAAACCAACCTGGAAAACAGTCACCATGGACCAGAGTAGGTTGTCAAAGTTTTTCCGGTCTGTGATGATGTCTCCATTTGGTGCCTCGTAACTAAATTTGTCGCCGAACAGCTGCATGCCCAATACACTGCGAAGGATCAAGACAATATAGTCATTCATGTACAGTATGCATCTCGTAGGTGATAATCATTATAGAATAGCATTTGGTAGGAGGAAGGATTTGCGTTTGTGTACATGCCTAAAAATCAACATGAAAAAGACCAGCAGCCCACAGAGCACGGCTGCCTTTTGCAGGGTAATCTTCAGCACAAGCAGCTGTTGCTTCAGGTAGGGAAGGAAGTGAACCAGCCTCACAAACCGCAGCAGACGAAACGCACGCATGACCGACATCTTGCCATCAGCTTTAGCAATTAGCTCCCACAAACTGAAAAAACAGTTATTGAAGTCAGTGTCATCCACCTCCAACATGACAGAAACTATGCATTTTGCTTGATTCCTAAAATCAAATGTCAATAATGACACATATTACAGGACAAAGCCATAAGAGGAGGTCAAAAATTAGACTGTGTGGGATCATGTTACCTGATCATCACAATGGCAAAGTCAAAGATGTTGTTTGGGTCGCAAAAGTATCTCCACGAGAGAGCCATCAGCTTTAAGATCATCTCCACAACAAACACAAAGGTGAAGATGTTGTTGCAGATCTTTAACATGCTCGTCAACTCCTTCGGCTGTAGGAAGACAAAATGGAAATAAATAAAGCAAAAGATGAAGAGAGGACAGAGAGGAGGAGGAATATAGATGAAGAGATGGAGAGATGATGGGGAAGATCAAGCAATCAATACAAAATAATCGAAACAAGAAATGTTATCAAACTGCTGTCTTTATAACAGTTAGCCAGAGCCATTTTCCATCATTTACCTTACACACATGAAATATATGGGAGCCTGGAGAGGCCAAACAGTAAGCAGAGTGAAACACTTTTCCTCCTCACCTGCTTGTGGTGCTCTATGGCCATGGTGAGAACACTGAGGAACACAACAAACATGATAACTCTGTCGAAGAGTTTGCTTCTGACCATCCTCTTCAGTTTTCTCTGGAATGGGATCCAGGCCTGAATCTGCAAGACAGGGGAGTCGGTAAAGTGACTCCTCGTCAGTGATGCGACAATACTGCTCGTTGTGCTTCTGCAGAAAGCTATTTAATTGTCTCACCAGTGAGGAATCCTTCCTGCTGCCATCAGGGTGCACCCTGTTATGACGACTATTGGTAAAATGACAAGACACAATTAGCAGTGAACAGCTGAAAATACCAGGGAGGTGTTCATTTAAGATAAAATCAAGACATAATGATTTGTTCTGATAGAGTGTGTTTTTTTTGTTTGCATTTGAATGCATCTCTTCCCACTCTTTTTGAGAAATCATTTTCCAGGACATTTCCAGGCGTTTTTCTTGACAATACAGGACAGCACTTGCTCACCAACGACCATATCATTTACCGGCAGGCCTAGAATTGACACACTGAACTCAAGTTTGAATTGTCACTCTGTGCAGCTGATCCTGCCAACCGACGAGTTTCAAACAAAATATGCGCTACAAAAAAGTTTACGTAGGCGATCTGACTGAAAATACTATTACACTTTTCGAGGACAGCTTAGATTTTTTCCAGTATATAAGGTCATTGTAATACATTTCCAGGTCTCTACATTTTCCAGGTTTTTCAGGATGTGTAAGAACCCTGCTCTTAGGAATTGGCTCTCAACATTTTTGGGGTCCCATTCTTTAAATAAAGGTGGGGTATGGGATTCACATAAAATCAATCGGTGCCTGATTTTGGTACCTGGGATATAAATAAATAATTACGATACACGATATTATCAAGATAATTATAAAAATATACTTCATACTTTAAGAATGGCACTAAAAAATACTGGAATCCCTTTACGTTACATTTTGTTAAGAAACACATATTTAATGCATCACAGATACACCGCATCTCCCTGTTCTGTATTTTGGAATCTATACTATTTCCACACATCCAGTTAATTTTTTTTGTGGAGGATACAACGGGCCAGTTGAGCCTTCAGCCAGGGTGACAGGCTTAGTATTTTGGAATGAGTGGAAAGACGCAGGCTCCTCCTTGTCCCCCTTGTTCAAAATAAATCAGGAAATCAATATAAGACTGTATGCTGGAGACAGCTTTTTCAAGTCAACCCATGTGAGGAAATTCACCATTATGACAATAATGTAAATTCACATTTATTTATGTTTTTTACCTGAGGGTACTTGTTTTTCTACAGTACCAAAGGTACTGAGAGGCAATTGTCCCAGACCTCAAGGCACAGCATATACGCCCACACTTATTCTAGTGGGCTGTTAAATGCCACATGAAGATAAACATGTCAAAGATGGTGAAGTGCAGCTGCAAAAATAAACATTCATTCCGGTAACTCAAGTTGGCCAAGGCTACACTGAAGCAACAAACTAACAAACTAGCCTACTTTGTTTATATGTATATATATATATATATATATATAAACACAAAGTAGGCTATATCTTTGTATCACCTGTATTATTAAGGAAAATATAGGAGTATTGGATCAGGTATTGGTATCAGCAGATTTTATATGGGGATCGGGAGCAAAAGAACTTTTGTTTGGGTTGGATTAGAATCGTATTACTTATAATGACTACCCCACTACTAACTAATGCGAGCTCCATGCCCAGAAGATAACGATTTAATAATACCAAAATGCTCCAGACACAGACACAGGAAGACTAACAAGTAGAGGCACATCCAAGATTAATTTAAACTTGAACTATCATACACATAATTATACCCATCACTGCAAACTACAAATTTAACCACAAACACAACAAAGTGCAGCTTTAAGAACCATACATATTCAGAACCTAACCTGTAGTATCTGCTGTAGAGCTCTTCCACCCAGCAGCTTAACTTGTGAAAGATATGTGCGATAGAACCAGCACCAACACCTTGATCTCCAGTAGTGGTCTTCATGTTCTCTGAGAACTGGGTGGCGATGACAACTGCACACACGTTCATCATGATGAAGGAGCCCATCTGGTTTGAGAAGCAAACGGGGGCTACTTAGATCAAGGGTTTTAAAACGCTGCTTCAGAGAAGAAGAAGATGGATCGTTTGATATCCCATAGCTCTGACCTAACCAAATAAATCACAGTTCTGACTCTTCAAATGTTCACTGATTTTTTCTAAAAAAAAATTAAAACATACTTTGGCTTTCTTAGACCACAAAGCTTTGCGTAAGAATTCTTAATCAATTGTTGTTATTAAACTCAACTTTTTATCATATTTGCTGAAACTTTCACTACTGTGAAAAAATCAGGTTCCTCTGGCACCTACTAGTGCTCCAGTGGCATTTGCAAACATCCACCGGGCCTGAGTGAAAAGACCCAATCAGAGCCAAGAAAGACAGATTGTTTAGTCTCATTTCCAGGTTGGCAAAACCAACACTTTGGATCCTGGGAATGAGACTCCACCATCTTAAATCCTCCAACTCAAAGCATCTCTGATTGGTTGTTTTCGTTCAGGTCAGGATATACTGCTATACTGCAGCTTTAATTATCAGGATAATACATAATAATATCAATTTCCCATACGTTTCTAAATCAGAGCATGTAAAACAATTGTTGTTGTGTAAACATGTAAGTACATGGCAGAATATTAAATAATGATGTATTTAGCTTCTGGTCTAGCTCCCATCTGGTGTTAAGCATGGCATAAAACACAAATCTACAGCTAACAGATGTTTTCTTTTAAGAGTCCGGTTATTTAAAAAAAACTATAGCAAGCCAGGCTTACAGTGAAAGTACTGGGCCTGACATTATGTAAACTAGATTTTACTGCTGTTGTTGTTCTCAGTGAAGTTATTTAACCAGCTTCACAAACCATTAGGTCAACCGCAGCTAAATTTGACCAGTATGGAGGAACACCAGAAAGACAAAGAAGACCACTTACAATGGTGACCAGGATGAAGAACACAAAACTCCAGAAGGAATGAGCATCCATGACGAAAAACATGATCTCGGCCCATCCTTCTAGTGTGATAACCTGAGAGCAGAGAGAGACCAAGTCATGAAAACAAAATGTTACTAAGTGGAAACATTTCAACAACATTTAATTAAGCTTTTGGTGAAACGGTTGAAAACAAAATACAAAAGGATCTGTTAAAGATTGGGTCTGATGGGTTCTCCAGCCAGAGGAGAGTTAGATTCAACTATACTTGATAGACAGATAGTCCTTCCTACCTGGAATATTGTTGACCAGGCGTAGCCGATGTTGTCGAAGCTCACAGCTCCCATGTGAGGGTTGAGGTCCCCGGCACGACAGATGTTGTAGTACATGTTCCAGTTAACACAGGAGGTGTCAGCGCTGTCCCCAGCAACCGCAGGGACTAACTCAGGAACATGGTGGGGAGCGGGCGACGAACAGATTTCACCATCCTCCATGTAAGGTGGCACATCACTGCAGCGTAGCATTCCATTCTTGTTGTCAGGTGAGCAGATAAACGGTACCTTTTCTCCAAACGCGGACATATAGTATGGAGACAAGGACATATTGTACATTCTGGAGAGAAAAACAATGATGACAGCTATTACACACTAGTACTGATGTACTATAGAAATCATTACATAGCTTTTAGATTTCAGATCAGAGGGGGTTTTATGCTGTGTGTGAGAAGAGGGTTTACATTCAGCGGTTCGTATTTGTGACACATGGAGTCAGACACTGAGTCAAACGGGTCAGTTGCAACTTCGAACTCGTAAAGAAATGCCAACACTGGAAGAACAGAACAAACAGTTTCCTTACGCAGGAATGTCCTCTCCCAGGAAGCAGCGATTAAGCAGCTGCCCCGCCCACAGCTGGACCCCCACAACAGCAAAGATGTGGACGATGAAGATATAGAGGACAAGGACATTGGCAAGCATGGGCGCGGTGTCCAAGAGTACTTTCACCATGGCTCGCATGCCTAAACAGATGAACACAAAAAGTCAGAAATAATTTTGACTAATTCTTAGTACATACGTGCTTAAAGATAAAAATTATATATATGGTTCTATTGATCTTGTAAGCCTCCTCCTTGTAGCCAGCATAAGTATAACAGCCATATAATATAAATAATATTTATTCAGAAGTTACAGAAATTCCCCCTCAGCCACTGTACTGATCATCAGGGCTCTGGATAAGGAATCTGAGGACCACTGAGGAGTGCTAAGTAGTTAGCATGGGGCCAAATCAGTGATGGACAACTTTGGGGACCACATTCTCATTATGTCCAGCAAATGTTCAAATGTCAACTTACTTGGTTCTCTGCCCATCAGTCTCACTGGGCCCAGTGCTTTGGAGATTTCCCAGGGGATGCCGAAGGAAGCCAGGACATAATCCAGCAGTCTGAAGGGAAAGTAACACACAGAAACAGGGAGAGGAGTTTTATTTCTTTACAAAAGTTAAAACATACGCACATTCTCATACTGAATATTACATTCTGCAAGACGTTTTTCTAAGGTGACTGCTTTTGTCTATCGGCAAGAGAAACTAGAGTGATTTATAGGTGTCAGTGCAAGGAATTGTAGGATACTAACTTTCCGGAATTGATAAAGACATCGAACTTGTTCCAGTGGTTGCTAAGGTAGCCAAAGACACCCAGGGCCACCATTTTTATGAGCATTTCCACTATGAAGAATGCAAAGACAACGCCCTGCAATACCTGGACATAGATGATAAAAAAAGTGGAAACACTAATGCTAACATAAATAACCAAAGGACAGGTGTCTAGACAAACAGTAACAGAAACTGAGGTAAACAGAGTTAAAGCTGCAGTATATAACTTCTCTAAAAATAACTTTTTGTCATATTCACTGAAACTTTCTCTATATCCTGACAGTAGTACATGAGACAGATAATCTGTGAATTTCCCCTTGATGAATAAAGTATCTATCTATCTATCTATCTATCTATCTATCTATCTATCTATCTATCTATCTATCTATCTATCTATCTATCTATCTATCTATCCATCTATCAGGTTCCTCTGGCTCCTCCTAGTGCTCCTAATGGTATTTGCATGAAAGTCAACCAAACCTAAACGAAGACACAGTAGATGTTCATCCCACTGCCAGTGCTGGCATACAGGAATGCAGGGCTCACACTAACCTCTTCAGTGGCGCTCTTTTGTTCATAGGGCTTGTACATGGCCAGAGCCACACAGTCGAGCAGGATCACAAATTTGGATACAAAATCCAACCACGTGGAGGAAGAGGTTAAGGTCAAAGCATCATATTCATTTATTCATATCATCAACAACAGAGGAAAGAGAATTATATACTGGAAGCACCTACAGTAATTGGACTAATATTGGTTGAATTTATACACAAGCTTTAAAGCTTCTTATTATTACACATATTTGGTCTCACCAGGTACCAGACAAGGTTACACTTGCAGTAAGAAAGGATATGGACTACAGGTAATTTTCAGACACCAGTTACGGTGTCTTGAGGTTTGTTTCATATAGACATTGTTTCGAGCTCTTTGTTCTGGTATAGAGAGGGCCACCTCCTCCACCTGTCCCCCAAAACCAGTCATGATGAAGTTTGAGTATAGATACTCTGGAGGGAGCATAAAAAGAAAGAGGTTAGAAAGACGAGAAGAGAGGAAGACAAGCAGGTGAGAGTGAGACAGGACATGGGAGGGAGAGACAATATGGCTACACACTACTAGCCGTATGAGAGGAAATATGTTTATATTAAATAATTCATTTCATTTATATATATATACACACACACACACACACACACACACACACAATAATGCAATATAAAACACTTCATCATGTGGAAAAGTCCTGCAGTGAATATGTTACTTGATTAAAAGCACATAAGTAGGCCATTAAAAGGTATTAGCAAACTGAAAGTATTCATAATGCAGGAACAATTCCCCTGTATGTAACGTTATATGTATTGTCTATTTGCATGATGGTCACTAATGCATTAATGACAAAGTAATGTTTTACAGTTTACTGGTGAAGGTGGAGCTAGTGTTAAAGCTGCAGTAGATAACTTTTACAAAAATAAACTATTTGTCATATTCACTGAAACTTTCCCTATATCCTGACAGTAGAACATGAGACAGATAATCTGTGAAACAATCAGGTTCCTCTGGATCCTCCTAGTGCTCCTAATGGTGTTTGCAAGAATCCACCGGGCCTGGATGAAAACAACCAATCAGAGCCAAGAGAGATATAAAGACTCCGTGGGTTGGAGCCATGAAAATCATTGATTGTTGAGTCTCACTCCCAGAGTCCCAAAGCATCTGTATTTGACACCCTGTGAATAAGACTCAACATTGCAGATAGCATTAGGAGCTATAACGAGTCAGAGGAAACAGATTTTTTCACAGATTACTGCAGCTTTAATGATGAAGTTACGTTAGCATCTAAAGGTTTAACATTACTTGTGAAGGTGGGACTATTATTTAACGTTACTACTATTTGGTGTAGTAGAATCTCTATTACAGTAGCACATCCATCATATTCTGTATATTCTATTCATCTATGTACTTATTTATTAATCTTATTTTATATATAATGTAGCAGTTAAAAGTACAGTTTTTCCCATTGAAATGTATCATTAAATTTGTCCCAAGCAGCTACTGTACTGCTGCTTTAAGTGCTACTCCAGCCATCTGATTTTGTAAATTAGCTCATTGGATGCTAGCCATAATGCTAGGCTCTGTAATGTCACCTAAAGACGCGAGGTCTCTTCGACAATATACACGACTCCAGAACTCCAGAGGTAAATTCAAACATTATTTAAGGAGGCTAAGTGTTAGCAGCAATTTAAAAGATAACGTAAAGTGCATCAGAACTTCGGACAAACATTTGACAGTAAACAAATGACTCCAGTCAGATTCTACAGTTAACATAGAAAGTCTTTAGAAACCGGTCGAAACCTACTTTATTAATCCCACAGCGGGGACAGTCCCTTCTCACAGCAGCATTTTACGTGAAATAAAGAAATACTGATATAAAAACCTTTGGTTAAGAGGTAAAGCTATGAAAGGACAACATTGACCAAGAGTCTGACGGCGGCCGGGATGAGAGACCTGCGGAGCCTGTCCTTCTTCCACCATTCATTTGCCATTAATTAACAGATGAATTTAAAGTCATTTGTTTTTGTTTGAAGTATATTCTTTAGTAAAGTTGACTGGTTCAGAAAGAAAACATCATTTTAGTCACATTAGAGCTAATGTTGCCATTCACCAGTGCAGCCGGTGTTACAAGAAATCCTGCGACTGTTACAAATCTCAGACAACATTTCCACTGCAAAAGTTTCTGCATTAACATAACGTTATCTTTTATTTTTTATAATGTTAGCTGCCACCAAACATGGCGCGTCCATAGTGTTTAACATAGTGTTCACATATGTCGCACATTTACATATTTGCAGGATTAACTAACATTAGCTAGCGTTCATTAGCCAACATACGGGATACTGACAGGTGCCGTTAGGTCAGATGTAACTCAGTGACCCCAGGAGCTAACGCTACATGGGAGCTAACGCTACATGGGAAACACAAACCGGGGAAAAGCACTTACCAGAGCACGAACAGTCGGCAGAGTGTTGTCCACTTGTCGTTAAATGGTTTCAGAAGTCCGTTCAGGTTTGTAACAGCTCAGTTAACTTCGCTAACATTAGCAGGTAGCTATACCGACATGCAAAGCACAAGAGTTGTTTACACACAATAACATTAAGTGACTTTTAATTTGACAATAAACAGTTCCAGACACATTCTGAAACTGGAAGTCAAACAATAGCAACAGCAACCCAGTTTTATTTATATTTGTATCAGTTTGTTTTCCAGGGCAGTGCTGATCATACTGTATTGTTATAGTTAGTGTTGCCAAGGTAACAGATAACAGGGATCAATTTTAGTAACACAATACACTTATAAACCTTTTTAATAGAAAGACTTTTATTCCAATGCTTCAAATGTGTATTTAGCATTCAAGGGTTTATACTGTATACATAATACAGTTCATTAAAAACACTGTAGGCCTTCTACAGCAGTGAACATACGTTACCATACATAGTGTAACCCTGGCCTCTGACTCAGGGTAAATGTGCATTTATTTGTGAAAATGCGTCACATATCACATTAGTCACGTTGATCTGTTAGTGAATGACTCTAATATAATCAGCCTGTCATTTAACATTAATCCTTTCATTATAAAATAGTAAAATCCCACATTATTTTACTAATTAGACATCAGTAAGGTGTCGCTGGTAGTCATTCCTTCTTGTCTCTGTCTCCAGATGTGTCCTCATGTGCAGCTGCATCAGCAGTCTGTCATGGCGTCTGTCCTCACACACACATCCAGCTGGACTCATTGTGTTGTTTCAACATTGTGTTGTTAACATCACTGCTGTAGGCTCAAATATTACGTCTTATTAAACAGCAGTTAATTAATATTGGCAGTTACTTAAAAGCACAAAACCTAAAATGATCCATTTATAAACGAGGGTTTAAACATGGGCTAAAATACTTCAAAAATGTTCAACCATAAAAATGCTACAACAGAGGGAATAAAATGTCCAACACTAAAATGAGGGGGGCCTGCACACTTCTCTGCCACAGTGTGCTCCAACTGCGCCACCCACAGACCAAAGAGACCCTGCTGGATTTTATGACTGAACTTAATGAGCAGGTTAAACCTCACAAAATACTTAAATCACTCACCTTTCCAACCTTTTACACATGAAACAATATTAAATACAGATTTATTGTAATAAGACATCACATTTTTGTCAGGAAGAAGACACTCAGACTGTAGTTTCTGCACTCTGGCTTTGCACTACCTATATATCTGTTTATGATCGTACAAAGACAGAGTGCAGTATCTGCATTTTTTGGGTCATAGGTCAAATAATTGGTCATGATTTTTAAGCCACGAAAATTACTTAGACAATACATATTTAATAAGCACATAATGGCTGTCAAAAAACATTGAAGCCATTTTCCTCAGTTTCACTGTCATTTCGCTTTGTAGAACAGTATAGTAAGGTAATTACAGGAAGGAAGTCAATTTAAAACTAACCTTTTTCAACTTAAAAGCATGCAATAACAATCATGATTTCACAAACCATGCAATAAATAAGACAAAACACATCATCAAATATTATAAGCAATACTTCCGCCCTATCACAGTAACATTTTCTCATTCACTTTAATTTGTTTAACCCAGTAGGTCATTGGTTCCTAATAAAGATGATTGTTAAGGTCAAGATGAGCATTCTTCCCATACTTCTGGAAAGCAACATATGGAGTGTGGCTCCCCCTGGTGGTCACTGACCCACCCTGCATTAAATCCTCTGGTGATGAATGAGACCTTATAGATTACAGCAAATGTTGCAGGTTCACGTCCCTGTCCTGTTCCACTGGACTCAACAGAACTGATTCATTCTGTAAGTTAAAGGTAATGGACTGGAGAGGGTTCATGGTTGGATGGAAAAGAATACAGATAGGCTGGTTGCCCATGTAGTAAAAATAACATTTTCAGTCATAAAAAGAAAGTTTGATGGATATTTATCAATTATTTGTAATATTTCTGTTATTATTATATTATATTGATTCATATTTGAGTGATCCCTAAAACACAGTTGTATAGGTAAATGTGAACACTGACTTAAAGGAGCAGTCCACCCCACAATCAATTAATACATATTTTAGATTTTTCTTACCTGTAGTGCTGTTTATCCATCTAGACTGTTTAGGGGCTGAATTTTGGAGATATCGGCTGTAGAGATGTCTGCCTTCTCTCCAATATAATGGAACCAGAAAATATTTATCAAAAACATTTGAAAAACTCAACAGCAATGTCATATCACGTTTTGGTCAGTCAATATAATCAGAACTAGGAAAGGGGTAGCTGTTAAGGGAGCAGTTTTCATCTTGTTTTTCTCTATTGAGACCCTTCTCACATCACTGTGTTCTTTGAATGCAACCATATCCATTACCGAGAACAATAATAATAACATCTGAAATATGAAAGATTTAGCCCCTCGTTAGCATATGGGGCCTGAAGTGTGATCAACTTTACATGAATCATTTAAAAAATATATTGATCAAGATAAACTTATTGCTGGAAAAACGAGTTTCCTTTCCTCAGTAATAAAATAAGCTCCTCCCTGCCTTTGCATTTCATGCCAGTTATAACGGACCTGAACCTGAACCCTGCCTGTGCACTGAAGGAGAAGGGTGGAGAAGAGGGAACAAGTCGGAGCCGCTGGAAGCCTGCACACAGTGGTGGAAAAAAAGGGCAACAACTCAGGGTAAGGATTAGCACCCTAGAACACTGGTTCCCAGCCTTTTTCCTCAGGGGCCCCTTTTCTATCAATTAGTAACCTGACAACCCCTGACTCAGTGACATATTTTATGGATATTTTATATTATATTCAAAACTGTACAATGACAGGAAGTTTGTGTAAAACTAGTGATGTGGACACATTTTGAGCAGATTATTATTTAATGTTTAAGGAACTTTTTATACATTTCTCTGTTTGTATTATGCATTTCTTTATCATTTTTAGCAATCATACAGACTTAATATGCTTATTTTTGGGACAAATTCAGTGTTTTCCTCTCCGTGGCATTGTTTTATTTACTTAGATTACTTTTCTCCACAGAACTGAACCAGATATAGGCCTACTGTGTATATGTTTTAAGTTTTCTAGCACACCCTGAAATTAAGAGGGCCTCACTACTCCCCCATGAAGCTTTGGTGATCCCTTAGTGGGGGTTAGCTGAATGTTAGCTATCTCAGCAGTGCTAGGTGAGCTAGCTAACAGCTGTTACAGCTCAGCCAAGGAGGACACCACTGTCAGTAGATGCATGCTTCCTTCTGTGCGGTGATACGTAGAAAGAAAATAGTTCCTACATGAAACTGCCCACAACAAGGTTGTGGATTACACATTATTTCTCTACAGCCAATATCTCTAAAACTCAGCAACTCACACCAAAACAATGCAGATGGATACATAGTGCTACTAAGAGGAAGAATATGTATTTTTGATTTTGAACAGTCAGGCCTTGTTAAATAAAGATTGTAGGTTTCTGTAGGAATCCACAATATAATCATAAACATACAGCACTTTGGTCAACTTTGGTTGTTTTTAAAGTGCTTAACAAGTAAAGTTGGATTGGATTGGATTGGATAATGGAATGCTGACCTTACACATTTATGTTTTTTCACTGTAGAAACATCTGGATGTGTGAGCTGGACTGCAGTTAGTCAAATACCATCTGCTTCTTCAACTGTTTTCAGAATGTTTTATTGCATTTCTATTCTATCATGGTGTATTACCTGTTTAAATAAATAACATCAGGTTGATTAGTATACAGCTGGTGCAGCATAAAAGCAAATATAATACTTCAGATACAATAAATAAACAACAACAATGTCAACGCTTTCAATTGTACAGTTACAGTTTTTGTCTTCATCGCTACGGTTAAAAAAACACAACTTTGGTCTTCTAACCTTATCTGTAGTTCTTACAGCTCCTGATACACGACACTAAGTGCAGTGTTGTCAGATTAGTTTCAGACTGTTGAGTGTTGGCACTGGCTCTAAAACTTTTTTCACAGGGGCGTGTCCAGTCTTTTTGGACTGGGGTGGCACAAGGGGGATCTGACTTACGCAGAGGTGGCATTAAGTATGTGTCTCAGTCTTCCAGTCATTCCCAATTTCTGGGAGTTATTGGCCAAAACTGTATGGGATTAGCATAAAGTGGGTATGTCTGCAAAGGGGAAACTGACGTGTGGGTATCCATAAACCCATTTTCATCCAGATATCTTGAGGTCAGAGGTCAAGGGATCCGTTTGAAAATGGCCTTGCCAGTTTTTCCATCGCCAAAATGGTCCTGACATGATAGCGTGACAGGTCAGTGCCATAGTGCCATAGGATACCAGTATGTTTACTTTTACTACAGAGAGCCAACCTCTGAAAGAGTATGGAGTGGAAGAGGCAAGGGTAATGGGGTGGCCAATCAGATTTCAGGGCCCCCCCTTCTGGACACGCCTCTGCCAATTCTACAAGAGCTTTCTAATAATATGTTTTGTCAAACTGACAAAGCAGACACTGATTCCTCTGACAGAAAAGTTTCTTCTCATGATAACAAACATATTCTGAAGCTGTTTGATTAATTGATTAAAAAATCCTTCAAGTCGTAAGATTCTCTGTCGGATTATCGTCATATGAAATATTCATATTTGCCAAGTGTAAATCAACAAACAACCCTCATCAACAAAAACAACACTGTATAAAAGCTCTTCTTTAACATGATAACCTACAGTAGAGTGATTTGTCTTATACTCTGTTCAAACACTGACAATAATAAAGCCTTCATGTCACAGTCACTGGGATCATCAGTGAAGCTGACTCTCCCAAACACAAAGTAAACAAAGACAAACAAAGAAAAATCATCGCAGTTATGAAGCATATGCATAAATGTCCTCTAATAAGCTAACAATAAGGCAGCAGATTTATCTAGTGCACGTTGTCATTTTGCAATTGCATAACTTGTATTTCTAATATAAAAACTCTAGTATCTACTTAATAATATAGTTTGCTCTCAAGTCATTTACTGATAAAAAGAAACAACAATTAGACTGAAATTAAGTGAAGCTAAAATACAGTCACTGTGAATCAAACAGTTAACAAAAAAAGTCATCTCTTCAAAGTATGTTTAACATGATGATACACTAGGCTACAATTATAAAAGTACTGGGATGGGATTTAAAGGTCCAGTGTGTAACATTTAGGAGAATCTATTGGCAGAAATGAAACATAATATTCATGGGTATTTTTTTCATTAGTGTATAATCAGCTGAAAATTAGAATGATTCTGTTTTCCAATTAGTGAAAATTCACGCTTGGAAGGGGAGGGTGAAGGGAATTAGTTGCAATCTGCAACTACACCGCTAGATGCCGCTAAATCCTATACACTGGTCTTTTACCTGCCAATGGGCCCCTAATTCGTACAGCACGTCAGACAGGCAGAAACAAGATCGTTCATCATCATCATCATCATCATATCTCCTATAATTCCTTATTTTCCATGTGGCTTTTAGTGCTATATAGTGTTGGTTAAAGTTGCCACATTTGAACCCTACATCAGACTGACACATAGAGCTGTAGTAGAATCCAATTATCCCTAATACAGTTTTAAAAAGATAAGTTTAAGTTTTTGTATCTTGATACACGAGCACTGAAATGCATTCTTTGATACAGTAATCAGGGTAGGGGATTAGAAAAATGTGATGGATTTCTGTCATGTATTGAGGTAACCAGGTTTCTAATCAGCTTTCTACTGACAGGGGAAGTAACAGCTTAGGGGCTGGACCAAGTCCAACTGCCCAAAAAAGTAAGCTAAGGTTCCACAATCATCATTTTCACATTTTTAGGGCGTGTCCTCATATTTCCTCTTCCTGGGTAGATAAGTAACAGAGATCAGATCAGTCGTCAGCCCTAGGCTTAATTTTAATTTTAGTGTTATGTATTTGGGACACTTGCATACAGGGCTGTAAAAGCAGGACAGATATTTATTACAAATATTGTTAACCTGTAGCAAAGAGCAATAATCAGGAAAGGGCTGAGCTAAGAATCTCCAACAGGCCCTGAATGGATATTCAGGAAATGTATATAATGGAACAATTGACTTCTTCCTTGAGATATGCCACTTAAAAATGTGAAAAATACTGGAAAAACTGGAAATCTTATCTTATTTTACTTTATATCTGTTTGGAGAACTTTGTTCTATTTCTTCTTGTAATAAAACCAACACAATTGACTTTTAGTTATGAATGAATGTCTGTTAGTATTTTGTTTTTGTCAAAAAAGAATAAAAAATAAAGTTAAAAGAGTAAGGTCAGGGTAGGGGTGAAATCTGATCACTGACCTGCTGCATGTACACACCTGTTCTACCACTACCTGTGTAACCTGGCTGCATGTGGACACAGAGTATGATGCGCTCAAAAGCTTCAGAGAAAGCTTCAAAGTGATCCTTGAAATTAGAAGATTAGAATTTTTTATCAAATATCTTAATGCAATGCTTGCATGTATGTTGATGTATGGCTCCTGTTTGTACAGTGTAACAAAAAGTTTAGAAAACCCATAATTTCAAACAACTGTCTTCCTTAAATGTTTCAGCTCTAAGTCGAATGCAAACTCTTATATATATAAATACTCTTTATAATCTACTTCAAACATTTTCAATTCCAACTATTTAATTTTCAAGCACCCAAATAGTGAAAAGTTGTAGACATTTTTTAGTTTATTTTTAAACTTTAAAGTTTAATTTTGACATAAAACAGAAACATTTAATGAAGACAGCTGCCTTTAGAATTGGTTTTTACAGTGTACTGGCTGTGACCATATCTTTCCTAATATGCCCTCACTGTAAGAAAGCTAGCTAAAGCCAACAACAATATAAGTCGGACAAATCTAATGGGGTTCCCTTTCAGAGGGTTCCCCCGACACTTCCTTGATCAGCTGCAGCAGATAGGGGGACAGCATCAGCATCATCAGGCTACAAAAGCTGACCTCAGCCATGTAAAGTGTTTAGCTCATAGTCATCAAGGCAAGACGATAGAGTGATCGCTACTGCAATTTTAAGAGTTGAAAAACTGGACTTGTAGCTAAAGTATTTATAGCTGTTCTGAACTGCCAACACTCAAAGATGGGGTGATGAGTGGGGACAATGGCAGTTTCAGACCAGGGGCAGAGCGGGGCGTGGCTCCAGCCCTAAATGTTTTATAATTACTAGAACTACCATTCCAAAAGGCCGATAATAACTACTCCAACATAGCTGAACAAAACTAGGCTGCAAGATTAGTAATGCTGTTTATGCCAAAATCCTAACCTACCTGTGTTATGTAACTTAAAAATAGAAGAGACCATTTCTATTGCGTTTTTCCCCAAATGATGGTGATGATGGTGAAGAAATCCCACATTGTTCTGCCTCTGACTAGCATACCCTGATATTTTCACCCCTAACCTCAACCAACCAACAAACGCAGCGTGTGCTCGGAAAAGAAAATTTGCGCAGGGGGACGCAGTTTCAGGTGCCATTCTGATGATCCAACAAGCACTTAGTTTGAAGTAGACCATAGCCTCCAGACTCCTAAAGCCACATAGCTGAACTTTAAAATGTATTTTTTACTGTGATTATGTCTCTTGTCACTTACAGTAAGTCACATTAGGAAGAGATCACTTCACAGCCAGTATGGACGTCAATAATGACTACAGCAACCAATGGTTCTTTTAATGGACATATCACATCAGCGCATTCTTTATAGTTAATGTCTCCTTCACATGCTATTTATAAAGTTAATGAAGGCTTTCTACCCTACCCAAGTAATGTTTGAATCACATGCCAGCAGGCATTTCTACACTATTTAGTTAAAATAGATTTAAAAATAAGTTACTGTAGTTAAAAAAGTCCTTCCTGTGGAAAGCTTGAGACTCAAAATGTAGAGACAAACTCTAGCACCAAACTTTGGTCATGGTCTCGTAGATTGATATATGTAGACTTCTGCAGGCTGGTTCGACGGGTTGTCACTAAGTCCTGCTCTGAGAATCAACCCTCCATTAAATGAGGGATTAAATAGACAGTTCTGGTTTCAGGTATCCACCAGTCACAGTAACTGGAAGATTTGGTTTTTGAGGGAATGCGGTTAGTGCAGTTAAACCTACCATCCACAGCCAAATTTGACATTTGGGTTGATGGTAATTACCTCCCTGATTGTATCTCCTTTTTTTGTTTACACTCTTGGGAGGATCACAAAACTGAACATACTGTACGCATCTCAGAACAGTGTTTTCTTTCTTCTTCATACGTTGAAAATACTGGTCAGTTTTACTGTTTGCATGTCTGTAACAACACAGTTCTCTTCCATAAAATGTGGACAGAGTGGGGATATAGCTGCAAGGTCGACAATGATATAACCTTTAAGTTTATGAATTAGGTCTTCTATTGCGGGCAGATATGTCCTGGGGATCTTCCCATGGTGGCTTCCATGCTTCAGAGATGGGATTAGGGTTTCTTGGCTGAAGACTTGGCCGGTGATTTCGAGGGACTGCTCTGACACGGAGTGACCTTAATGTGGATGAAGAGTGAGGAAGGCGAAAGGCTGGAGCCATCCACCTTAAGCAGCCGAACATGGCGATAACCTGCAGTGATAAAGGAAGGAGGTCAGGAGGGCAAATCTTTGGTACAGTCCCAGTAATAGCCAAACTCTACTGTCCCAACACATACCTGTACGGAGACTTGTGAAAGGCAGGGTGTACTGTCCCAGGAAGTCATTGCTTGAGGTATAGTCATGGTCCTCCACCATGAAACGAACCAGAGCCAGGTCAGGGACATGGACGGTAAAGTTAAAGGTACAGTCCCACCGCGGGTTGAAGCCTGAACCAGGGAAAGAACACTTACTGACAAACTTATTCACACCAATTTGTTCAATTTTACTTGTACACAGTAGGTAGTCACTAGCCCTTTTTGTCTGATGTACAGTATTACTGATATAAAGTGGATATTGTTATAATGATCAGGTCAGTTAACGCTCCTATTACTACCACCTGAAGCTCCAGAAGGGTTAGGGTTGATTGATCTTTTCAAACTTTCTATAGATACTGCAATAATATCATTATTGTGCATTATTTGGCCACAATAATTGTGTAGTGAAAATCTGAAATTGTGTCAGCCTTAGTTTCAACCATCTATCTATTCCTTTGACCTATTTCAACTGTTCATCAATTACTTTTAGCTGTTTCAACCATTCATCCATTACTTCTAGTCAACTGTTAAGGCTGTTTGGACTACTAGTGGTGCCATGGGTAATATCTATTGTAAACACAGAGAAGTGGCTTTTAGTCATTATGCAGCACAGTTCTGAAACCAACCTCCTGATGGTTTTAGAAGAGCTGCAACCATTGGAGTTTTTAAATCCAGACTGAAAAGCAAGCACTTTTACCTAAATGTTTCCAAAACCGAAAGTCCTATTATAATTGTGCTATTATTATTTTCATTTATTTATCTTTATCTTTTATCTTACTTTTACGTTTTATCTTTGAACTGTGTTGCTTTTGACTACACTGAACAGCCCTGTGGACCTACCTTTGTGAAATTTCTTAAAAAAACTGTCTTGCTTTCTGTGCTCCGGGGATTCAATATGCAGATATATTTTTTAAAACATCATTCATTTTATTTCAAATTAGTCAACCTACTCCCTAGTATTGCCACACACCCCCTGGCAACTGCAGAAGTACCCCCTTGGATACAAATGCTTGGGAACCAATATTTTAGGATACTTTAAAGACCCCATGGTAATTGTACCGTTTTTCAACAACTTTTTTAACGAGGGTCCACTTATTATTTTTTTCTGGAGCTTTCAACCACATCTAAAGGTGTTCATTAGCTGCTTGACTTTCTAATAAGCTGTGTAGAATTTAACAAATGCCATTTAAAAGGGTCTTTTGTCGGTATACTAGATATTTACCATTGTTGTCGACATGATGAGTTTTCTTCTTAATGTTGTCGATGGGAACACCATGTATCTCTACCCACACCTGAGGGTCCACAATGGAGCTGGGCTTGTCCCATTCTGGTTTAGGAAGCTGCTGAGCTGAAATAACCTGGAATAACAGAGCTTCATTTGATTAGAGTATCATTATAGTATGTAGCAAGAACAGCTTATTAAAGAGTGAGTCTGACACTCCCATACAATGTGTGTAATGCCATCCATCCATCCTTTTGGGGTATACATTTACAACTGCTTAGAACCATTGGAGTAACATCCAGTCACCAATATGCTCTGTACTTCTGTTTAACAAACTGACAGTGGGGAAAATACCTTTGGATCCTGAAGTTTAACATATTCCGCTACTTGCTGTTCATTTAGGCCAGGGTACCACCTTCTTACCCGAACAGTGAGCAGGACAGGACTATGGGCAGGTCCTCCACCAACATTCTCTGGGTTGAAGGTGGTGTCCGGCCGGCACATGAATGGAGGCTTCAGGATGTACCCACACTGACCATTCTGCAGGAACCTGCCATGGTTTAGGTCCATCTGCTCACCAGGTGTCTGAAAATTCAAAGCAACTGGAAAAAACACAAGCGTGTAAGCGGCATACATTTCTGTCTACCACAATGTTCTTTTGATACTACCACTGGGGGGATGGGTGGCACACAATTAGACCAAAGAGAGGAAGCCAAGAACTTGATTAGTCTGTCTGCTTCTCTTGTGAACAGAATAAGATGAAATAAGCTCTCACCAATCTGACAGCCACCGTTCCACATCTCCTGAGGGTTGTAGTTGGAGGACTGGAGACGCTGGCCTGAGGGGTAGATCCTGCTGAGCTGGTGGCTGTTGTGGCGAACAAAATACATCCCTGGAGGGGAAGGACAAGAAAAGCCCAATTAATCAAATGGTACGCTGATGAAGACTCATTTTGCTTTTGTCTTTGTGCTGCCTGAACAAGGAAGAATCAGTATGTCTATATGCACCTAAATCTTTATTTGAATCGTTAGGATTTTCACTATTCCATTTTACACTTTTGAGTGGCATTGAGGGCAGCATGCAAACTACTTCCCTTTCATAGAGTAAGTTTAGTCACTCACATACACACATCTTACCTGAGTCCTTGATGTATCTGAGCGCGTCGCTCTCAGAGAAAGAGGACATGTCAGTTGCTGGGTTTTTGGCTGCTTGTTCAAAGCTTTTGAAGGGAACACTTTGGGTGTACACCACCAGCTCCGACAGCTCTGGACTCAGCTTAGACGCACCTGGCTGAGACGACACAGAATTATTATTTACCAGCCCAACTGCTAAACTAATGGTCACTGTCAGTTTATCCTCATTGCTATTTTCAAAATGTAGCATTGTACCCACCTTATTTTCCTCTTTCTTTCTCCTGGGTTTGCCTTCGGCGCAGCTGGCCTCCTCGTCTGAGGAGCTGAGGTCTGAAGAGCTGGACGAGCACTCCTCTACCACGCGCTCCTTCTTCCCTTTTACCAGGATTTTAAACTTGAGCTCCTGCACACACAAACACAATACACGCACTACACATTAACAACTTGTTTGAAAATTATACTACTAGTTAACTATTTTATCACTACAAGAACTACTACTGCAGTGTTAGCCACCATGACTACTACTTCATGATCTATATTACTACTGTAATACTGCTACAACTAGGGATGAAATGGTATATATTACCATGTGTCATGTATAATCTCACAATAAAAAACACTCTTCACTAAATATCTTCACGAGTAAATTGAGAAAGCTGTCTAGCTCGCTAATGTATAGTCTTGTACTGTTTTGCTGATTTATTTTACAAAACAGGGAAGCCCACATCTTTCCAGTCATTTCAAAATCCTAAGACTGTCACCATGGCTGAATGAATGAGGGTCAGGCCCCCTTCTGTCCTGTCTGTCACATTATATTAATTTGACACCTGTAGTTGGCAAATGTAATATGATTTATTATTACACATAAAACAATTCAACAATATAAAAAGTACTTCAAATTAGCTCCACCACACACAGCTATATTTGACATTGTGGCAACTTTTCTATCATTGAATCAACTGATGACCCCTGAACTGAGTGACATATTTTATGGATATTAGCTCTTTGTTTTTTTATAACTGCCTACTTTTCTAATGGAGGACGAGATTTAGCAGAGTGAAGGCTCTGTGAATATAGCTTGTGTTCAGGTCTTCAATGGGCCCTCAATCCTATGAGATTTTTAAAAAGTTTATATAAAAATCTAAACTTTAAAAACAGCAATTTCTTTTAGTTTTCTTCACAGAAATTAATGATTTGATGAGATATAGACCTACTGTATATATTTTTTAAATGGTCTTAGACCCCATAAAATCAAGGCCTCATGATAGGGTGGCCATTTCCTTCACATCAAAAAGGAGGACACTTTGCATACACAGGGACACGCAAGCAGATATTTGTTTGGTATGATCTGGTTTTAAATTTGAATGTTTTTCCACCAGATTACATAAAGGTGCATACACATACCACATAGCTAATAATAAATATACAAGATACAGCTCATGACAACGTGCCCTTCCAATTCAGATTACATAGGTCTAATAAACATCATACAGAAACTGTTCTTAATGTTTTTATCTGGGGATAAAGGGCTTTGCCTATCTACATATGAGTATGAGCATTTTCAGAATTTCAGTCCAACAACCCACGTTAGCTCACCTTATGTTCTCTGTCTGAGAGCTTGATTGACAGCCTGGTGGTAGCAACTGCTGTGATCATGTGGCAAATCAACACATGGCTCATTTGAATATTAAAATGAGCCATGTGTTGATAGGTCACTACACGAAAATGTAACCAATGAAATTACTATTTTGACACACATTTTTAGCCAATAAGTATTAAACTAACGAGGTAATGTGTCATAAGGCGGAGCTTTTTATTATTTTCTCAAAAGGAGGACAAACGAGTGTCCGGCTTAAGGCTGCGCCTGCAGCCGGACAGGGTGTTTAAAAACCGGACTGTCCAGCCTAAAGCCAGACAAATGGCCACCCTACCTCGTGACAACCCATGAAGCTCTGGTGCCCCCCGGGTGCTAGTGCTCTATATGAGCTACATAAACAAACAAGACCAACAACAAAATCCGCTATTTCTATATAAAGTAGTTATTCTTACTGCCTGCTACCGGGTCAGATTCCCCTTGAAATCAATGGAACCATTTTGTCCACAGGGGCTGCCAGAATCAACACAAAATGTTCCTTGTAGGGGCTTTAAGTAAAACATCTCAATAGTTTATCCACCACTGTCTACTGCTACTGCTACTTTATCATCACTGATAATAATACAATAATGTACAACAATGGTTAGACAGGAATAAAACGGTATATGGGAATGAAATCCTCAAAGCAAATAATTAAAGGCACAGACAGAAGTCAACATTAATATGAAAGTGCCTCAAGGGAGTGTGACTACTGGGGCACAGATCATACGTGCACATCAGCCCTCACACACGTTATGATCGTGTGCAAATGTAGAATAAGTGGAGCACAGAAAAGCAGATGGCCCCAGATTTCCATCCTAACACAAACAGCCTGCTCTCTGCTTCACACATAATCATAACAAAGTAATAGTTGACATCAAGACAGAGAAACTGTTTACAAATGCCACACATACACATCAGAAATCCACAGGAAACTCCTGCAGTCCAGTTGGAGAGAGTTTTTAAAAAAGTGTGTCAGAGTGAAATCCTCGACAGCCGGTCATTGGCTATTTTTAACCACGTCCACATTCTGTTGAAAAGTAGCAAGCACACTCCAAATATCTATCAGGACAAATCATTTAATCACGTCAGGTTTTTAATCTCTCAGGCAACATTGTGTGAGAAAATTGAATGTGGCTTTACACAGGCTTAATCTATGCCTCTAATTACCATTAGTCTGAATAATGATATAGTAGTTCTTATGGGGAATGGACTTTGATCGGGTTATGGAACAGTGTCTCCTTACCTCTGGAGAGGGCAGCTTGTGAGGATCCAGATCACTGACGGGCTTAGTGAGCAGCTTGTCTCCCAGGATGGATCGTAGGTGTCGAGCCATTACTGTCTGCTGCTCCACGGAGCAGTGGTTCTCCAGGGACAGGATCAGAGGGTACGGAGATGCCTGAGAGAGATGGTGCAAATTCAGTGAGAAAAGGATAGAGAAGAATGGATGGAAATTATCTTTTAAACTGTGAGCAAAATTGTTAATGTACATACAACTCTTCAACAACACAACATCACTTTTGTCCACACAAATTAGCATAAATGTATTAAATTAGAACGTAGTGTTTGATATTTATCTGTACCATATATCTCTGCATGAATGTGACCAAGACCAACTACTGTATGCAGCTGGCATGTAAAATGATTCTGATTCTACTCACTTTAAAAGCATATTCATTGATGGTCTCAATGACCTCGACAAAGGGCACTTTGGAGGTGAGTGTGTGTCCATGGTATATGATTGGCTCTCCTTTATCTCCATCCCAACAGTCCAGCTCCACACAGCGGCAGCTATGATTCAAGGCTCTAAGAGAAAAATCATCAGAAATTGCAATTTAGGAGCTTGTTACTAATCTGTGTTCTTGTCGACGTCCATGTCTGAAGTCTAGGGGCCTGAACTCACACCCTCTAGCCTCGCAGCAACCAAAGCTAACGGTTAATGGTGTGTTTGGTTCCTCCTCAACTTGTCAAGATGAGAACAGAAGGTTCCACATTGGTGTAAGATTTGGTATTTAGCAGTGACTAACTTGCTTCATCCTACCCATACTTGCATGTAGGAGAAACTATGGTGGCCCGCCCGCAAAAAAAGGCCCTATCTAGAGCCAGTGTTTGGTTTGTCCATTCTGGGCAACTGTAGAACTGTAGGACCCAACTCTCACTGTGTACAAGGACTGGATGGCTCCTAGCATTGGCCCTGCCTACTACCTATTCCAGCCTACTAAATACACCAAGGAAGACCTATAGAATAGTAGACTGAATGAGCACTTCCATTAACCCTCTGGTATCCTTGCAAGGGTATTTAATGACTGGAATGGAATCTGGACTGCTCTTCCTGTGGTTCAAGCAGAGTCTCCTCCTTTCCAGCACCCTGGCATGAGCTTACCCACCCACACCCCTATGACTGAAACACAGCTCTCAGCCACATGCACTGTTCCCAAGCTCTACAAATGATTAAAGAGGCATGTCACCTAAGACGGCCCAACAATACTCAGCGCCTCCAGCATCTCAGGGATAACCTCATTCATCCATAGATAGTTCCATAGCCAGGGAAATGGGTAAGATGGGTCCAGCCCTGCCTCTTCCACAGAGGGGCATGTCAGGTTTAGGAGTTCCTCAAAGTGTTCTTTGAGAGTTTCTGGAATTTTCCCAGAAGCTGGTGTCCATCATATAGACCACAGCCTAGGACCTGCCTCTTTCCTGTGCTGTCAGACAGTTTCCCAGTACCTTGTTGAGCCCAACTGAAAGACTTCCTTCATGGCCTTTCCAACTAACCCCCCCCCCCACACACACACACACACACCCCAATTTTTGCTTAGCAAACTACGGAAGCTACAGCTCTTCTGGCCCCAATATACCTCTAATACATAATGATGTGACTGAATGATTAATTTAGCAAGCTAGATATTAAAATGCTGTACGTTCACACGTTCATTCACTAAATGTTACAAAGTGCATACGTACAGGTATGTGTGTGGTCCTGTTCGTTCTTACCGGATATATGGCTCTGTGCTGCTCTCCCCGGTCAGCTGGTCCTTAGTGAGGTAGGTATTGTGAGAGGAGGAGATGAAGTAGTGTGCCAGTGAGTGTTTCATGTCTTGGTAAACCCTAGCATGCTCCGGGTTAAATACACAGTTCTCCTTAGAGAGCATGTACATGGTGAAACCATTGGGGGTCATGAACTGGTTCCTCTGGGCTGTACTGGGCAAAAGGCACAAACACAAGTCAGTAAAGGAGGGAAATTATTATACAGTGAGACAATAGGTGTTGGTAGTCATAGTGCAGGTTGTAAAATACAACAAATTCTTTCACAGTTTTGACCACATTCTATATGTTTTTTAGACCATATAGAAATACAGTAGGTGCAGCAGTTTCCTCACTAGATTCTTGCAGTGATATATTTTTGTGTATTCAAATGTCTGTACACATGTTAGAAATCTGGGCGTCATTTTTTATTCTACTTTAAAGCAACATTATTTAACATATCTACCTTGAAAAAATGACTTGGTGGTGGTGGGGACCGTCATACTTTGGTTTTTGGTTTATTTTGTAGTTTTTCTCCTAAATAATAGCAATAATTAGCTTATTTACACATCCAACCGACATGGAACAAAATTCAGCATTCATTTGGAATTGTTTTATCTGTGAACCCGATAAATACAATATTTTTTCTATTTGAGCTCTATTTTGGTCTTTACCACCTCCGGAGAAGAATATCTGCTTTTCTATGTTTACCGTCTAATCGCTAACTTTATCTGTCTCCCATTAGGGGCTGGGCAGGTAGCATCCAATGGGTTTATCAGAGCCATTTAGCTGAACACACACCCAATAAATGTTGGTCCTTTGCAATATATTGTTACTTGGCACCGTACCCCACTCATTAAGTTCATAGGTGAGTATGACGCTTTGGGCATGGATGAGGGAAGCGTCCTCCCCCTGGTCCATGAAGAAATCCCTAAGGTCCACAGTGGAAAGTACACAGCCATTTGCAGAGTAGCGGATAAACACAGCATCTATCTCCGGTCTCCGTAACAACTCCCTGCAGAAAACTTCAATCTCCCCATGGTCCAGGCGACCGTCAGCGGACTGATCACATTTCTATCAGAGAAACAGAGTGAGATACAGGTGATCATTCTATGTTTAGGTGTTAACATCTGTTTTAAATCTAGTCTCAAGTGTCAGACCCAAGCAACACACAGTTAATGCAGGTTTATCACTATTCAAATCAAATGAGTTTAAAAATCACTTTTATTACTGACAGAAATCCTGGATATGGAGCCAATGTTTTCAAGTGTTTGTGTGTGTTCTACTACCTGGAAGAGGCTGCGGGCATACTGGTCACTCAGGTCAATGTTGATCATCTGCAGCAGTGTCTGGACTTCCTCATAGCTCATTTTATCATCATGGTTCTGGTCGGCTCGACTCAAGTAAGCATGAATCCAGGTGACACACAAACACAGTCAAGGAAGCAGCAAGAGCAGAAAATGGATAGTGTTTGGGGGTGTTATAGTTTGACCAATATGGAATTTTGAAAAACAGAACTAATGTTTAATTATAATAGTGGATCAGGATGACAAAAGAGTTTGCATTGGATACTTGTTACACTGTTGGCATTGAGGGCTTTAATTGATGGATAAGATGTTCTCCCGACTGGCTTTGGTAAGAGTCTGACGTAATATGGTTTGTTGATCTGATTAGTTGAAGTTGCCTGTGATAGAAAAGACGGTTCATCCAATCACCTGACAAGTATTTTTTGGAAGTGCCTGCCCTTTTCCTAACAGTTCCCAATAACTTCCCAGACGGTTCTGTGTAACAAACCACTTGCCGCAGTCAGTTTATTATTATCTCCCCATATACCATTTCTACAAATGAACAAGAAATAGGATATTGGTCAAGTTTTTCCTTCTGGGTCATGTTGTCCACCCTCTCCTGCAGGGTTCGGATGCCGCGGACCCAGTGCTGAGCCTCCTCCTGGCTCTGACAGAGGAGATCCAGACTCTTGCGGGGCCCTTTGAAAACCACTGTCAAACACCGGCCCTCCGGTACTGAGCCGACCATCTGCCGCAACATCTCTGACTGGCAACCCTCACGAATGCACTCCACTTCCATGACTGAAACTGAGGATGTGTCAGAGGAACAGAATGAAAAAGGTGCAAGAACAACAAGTCAAGCGCAATTAATTTTCCATCCAATATCGAGTGATATTCACTCCAAGAGAAACTCATGAATGCTTTGTTGTTTCAGAGGTTTATTGGTTATTAATGGAACTAATGGGTAACCTCTGTTACCACAATGGAAATATTTGAGAGCTTGGACAAAGAGTATTGGAACCAGACATTTAAAAAGGAGACCACAACAACAAACATGGTAATTAAGAAGCCATTCTTCTGGGACCAATCATTGCAAATGACAAATCAATTAACTGAAGAAGTAAGTCTGCTGTGGGTTTTCTAGAGACAAGTGGTCAGTACTATGAATAAATAAGGTCTATGACGATAGATAGATAGATAGATAGATAGATAGATAGATAGATAGATAGATAGATAGATAGATAGATAGATAGATAGATAGATAGATAGATAGATAGATTCTTTATTGTCCTTTCCAGGCAATTTGTTATATCATCATAAATACCAAGGTGTTTTGTTGAGCAATGCTATGGCAGAGGGTACTCCTACGATAGCGTGCCCGTATTCAGGCCATGAGTCATATAAACATGTTCTCTCCTAGCATGATCCTGACCCTTCCATGAGTGCAGGAGAAGTAATGAGAGAAGAGGGAACATTTAGTGTCTTGCACAGCTCTCTCAACTGCAGTGTGTGTCTATGCTCGAATTGCTTGGATTTTATTACACAATCATAGCTGTCGCTTTGGATCTGTCTTTGTGTGATTTTCACTTACAACTTCACATTTTGTAATCTGCTCACAGTACTCAACAGTCCAGCACTCTTGGACATTCATTATCAGTGTTTTGAGCGCTAATTTAGTTTGTCAATACAGTGTACACACACACACACACACACACACACACACACACACACACACACACACACACACACACACACACACACCTCAGCAGCATACTTTGAATACCCATTAATTCCAGAGATTGTGTACTGCTAACATTTGTCCCAGTATTTCTGTGACTACCAGTTTTGCTACAGTGTACCGTATTATATAAAAGTAGATTTATAGAGTCTGGAGTTTGCTGTGCGTCAACAGGAAATCATGGTTAAAGGGTACAAGGCTAGGCCAAGGACAAGAAGTGGCTCCAAGATGTTGTGTTTCTGGTAATCTGGGTAACCCTGAATGCTGAAAATACCAGCCAATATTGTATTTTTGCAGGGAAAAAAAGACTGGATTGGTGACTAATAACACTGATGACTGGGCTGCACTGTTCACTCTAATTCCTACCAAATTTAGACACAAGCAACTCTACAGCTCACCTTTCTGTTTGTGTTATTCTTAACCTGTTTGCTCCTCTAGCACACCTTCCATACGACTGCGTCAATATGTGTACTTTGACAATCAAATCACACCGACTAATGGATTTGAATAAACCAAATTAAACATCAGTGCAGAGACCAAACATCAGCGATGTTTGCTGACCTCTATTTGCTTGTGGTTTCACTAGAAACTAGCTTGTTTAAGAAGTTCCGTGTACTGTGTTTACCTGACAACAGACGGACTGCACTGGGATTCTGCTCAAAATATATCAAATGCTGTTCCTAAGGAAGATGCTCACATAGGCCTTTTCCACCAACAGGGAACCAGCTCCCTTCAAAGCATTTCGCCAAAAAATAAATTGGTTCCAAACCTGTGAGTTAATTCCCAGCTGGAACCAAAAAATACCTGGGTTTTCTTGGGAACCAAAGAGTGTGTCATACTAATAATCTGTCCTTTTTTTGTGAAACATCTGATAAATTTGACAGCAAAACAGAAGCTTTACTTCTTTGTTTTATTTTCCATTTGCTCCAGTGTGGTGTGCAGCTGATACTTCTGTTTTTTTAAATTGAGTTTTCAGCATTTTCAACTATTGATTCCTCCTTTTTATTGTGTTGTTACTCAATCCCCAGTTCCTGCTATCCCACAATGCTTTGAGAGCCATTTCACTAGCCTCCCATTGAAAACAAATACACAGGACGTAGTTGGATTAGACATTTGTCAAAGCATTACCAAATGCCACCTGGGTTATCTACAAGAAGCCTTAACCTAAACATCAGTAGACTGTTATTGTATGTATTATACATTGATATTTTACAGTTTGCTAATGCACCTACTGCTCAGTGTCCAAGCAAAAGAGTGCTTTGTTGAGGTCAGATCTGTGACCTTTTCATCTACAAGCCATAAGGGCTCAATTTCCACTGTGGATTTTTTTTTTTTTTTTTTTTTTTTTAAGGTTGATTTTCTTACTAAAATCTATAGGATCATCTGATGGTTCTGGTCATGTAACTCATTAAAACATTTCTGGACCTCAATATTTCAAGTGTACTCGTAGATCTGCTACAAAACAATAGATCCTAATCCATATATGGCATTTGGTGCACCTTTATAGAACATAAAATTACTTCATATCAGTCATATGCTATAGCAATCACTTCACTTTCACTGTTACCACGATGATTAGTGTTAACTAGATGGAAGGCTACCAGTCTCTCCTCCTTTATATTATGGATCAAGGAAGTCATGATGTGTCTTCAAATGGAGATTCTGAAATCCACTCTAAAAGGATAACTGAAAAGATATACCAGACCCTGGCCTCCCCCTTGTTGATTATGTGGAGAACCCATCCTTCCCAGCAGTCTGATGGCTAATTTTATACAGGAGGTGATACACTGACCTTTCAATTTCATTTCTCTTTCTTTTGTCTTGAGTGTGAATAAATTCCCGTACTCTACAGCAGCTGTTTTCTTTTTTTGTTTTTCTCTTCCCCAGTATGCTGATGTATCTACATATCCCTCAGGAGCAGTATACTGGTTTGTGCCAAGCACCTTCTGTCATTGAAATATGGACTGCATGCTTATACAACTGCCTAGCATCCTTGTTTTATCTCTGTTTTTATTTCTTGGGAGTTCCCTTTGACTTTTTATTTTTCTTTCATTTTGCTTTTGTAGCTCAGGTGGTAGATCGGCTCATGTAATAATTGGACGGTCACTGATTCGATTCCCAGCTCCCCCAGCCCAATGGCCATCAGTGTGTTAATCGGTGAATTGATGTGAACTGTGTTGAGAAAATTCCATTTATCCCCATAATAGCCATAAAATAGGTATTATTATTCAATCTAATTTTTGCTTTTTTTTTCACGGGGAAAACCTGGATACTTGCACCTCTTCAGACGTCCATATTTTTTTCATATGAAACTATGTCTGATCAAAAATTACTATCTGGTTAAAGGGCGGCTGTGGCTCAGAGGCAGAGCAGAGCAGGTCGTTCCTTAATCGGAAGCTTGTGGGTTTGATCCCCGGCTCCTGGTGCCACAAGTCGAAGTATCCTTGAGCAAGATACTGAACCCCAAATTGCTCCCATCGGTGTGTGAGTGTGTATGAATGTTAGTTTCTGTTCGATGGACTTTGCCATCACTGAGTGAATGTGTGTGAAAGGGTGAATGTGGCACGTAGACCTTACTAAATTTTTGCCACAAGACAAAAAGGTTAGAAAATTACTGCAGTAGACCACCCAGTCACCTTAAAGCAAATACCTTTGATTTAATATGAGTGGGATAAATTACTGGGTGTGGCTGACAAACTTCCACTTTCTCGTATCCACATGTCAAGTCCAGTTAAATTGATTTGGGAGTTTTGGGATGCAGGTATGGATCAGAGAGGAGTATAGAAAAACAAGACAATAACAAGCACATCAAACTTTAACTTTAGCTTGTAAGTTTATGTTCACGGGAGAAGAAACTATATGCTTCTTTAGAAGTTACAAGTTCTCTGATGTAGAGTGGACTCTGTAATGATGCAGGGTGTCATGAAAAGCAAAATGTATGACACAAACACACACACACACACACACACACACACACACACACACACACACACACACACACACACACAAGCTATTGGTGGTTAGAGGAAAGGTCCTGTAAAACAAATACACACACACGCACACACACACACACACCAAACACCAAACACACACTGCGCCACATCATAAGCAAACCTAGTCTTGTGGCAATTAAAGGCCATGTACTTCACTTGGGAGGCTAACCTAGTGGGTGAGTCGTATGGTAACTATATAGCGCCAAACCACAGGCTCCAGGGCTGACTCCCACCACCATATAATGTCCTATAATTTCACTGTTTGAACTACAGCAGGATGGGCTGCCATCTTAGGCTCAAAATAGATGAGCTCTGTAATCACAGCACCGTGTGTGACCCTCAGATAGTGGAGGAGAGCGAGAGTAGCTGTGTGAGCGAATCTATGTCTGTACAGAGCAGTAAGTAGCATTTAAAGTTAACAAAAATAGATACTGTATATCCATGTTTCACCTTACACGCCCAGTCAGAGCACTGAGTTCTTCTGGAACACTTCAGATTATCACACAGAGATGGCTCTTAACCCCTGGGTGAGGCACCTTAAAGGGGGACTTCAAAGGTTTTACAAAACTAATTTTACAGCGTTTAATGCATATGGGAGAGGTCCTCATGGATCCACTCAGGTCTAAGTAACCAAGACGTGAACTGGGACCCATGTTGGGCGGCATCCAAATTATCCAGTGAGCATTTTTGAAAAGACGTTCAAACTTGAGACTTGCTTTTGGGAGCACACAGCGTATATTTCAATATTCCTGACTTTTATATGAAACATTAAATGTGTTAAAATTATGTCAGTGTAGACCACATTTCCCCTAACAGAGCAATATGACTTTGGAGAAATAACTTCATGCTAATCAATACTATGATAATATACTCTGTGTCCAATCTAATCTAATGAGGTTAGGTAAGGTCCTTTTCTATTGCCCCCGATCAATAGGTCTAAAGGTAAGGGTAGGCCTAAAACTAACTAGTTCATACTACTTGCAGCTGACCACATCGAAACGGCAAAGTGTTCAAAGTAGCTGTTCCAAATCCTTACTTGTAAAGCCCACCATTATACAGTAGGGGGAAGATGCGAAATAGGGTAACAATGCATACTATCGGTCAGCCTTTGTGTTGGCGATTTCACTTGTACACACAAAAAAGTGAAGTAATTATTTGTGTAAAGAATGTAAAAAGAGACTAGTGAACTGATTTTGATTCAGTTGGTAACCTCTGTAGTTGTCAAATGAAGCCAAAACTGCAGTTCATCCAACAGCCTCTTGAGGCTAGCTTGTGAGTCAATCTCTACAAAGCCCCATACTAAAATGCCAACTTTACAGCAGAAATGTTTACAACCTGGTACAAACAGTTTTGGTCTCTATAGTTTATATCCTGGTTCAGAACAACTGTATGGGGTTGATTTTACATAACTAACCTGATTAAATTATACCAAGGCTTTCAAATTATGCAGAATTAAGGGCATGACCGCTTTGAGTGACTGTAGTAATCAGGCTTCATTCAGCCCACCTCAGCTCCATGTCTTTGTCTGTATTTGGATCAACAGGTTGCCAAAATGGCAACAGCCAGAACCGCCCACACTTCACAACAACTTCAGAAAACTATGGAGACTACATCCATTATTATTGATTTGGTCTATGTTTTGATTTATATAAAATAACCCACACACAAACACACACACTTACAGGATTGTTGCTCCTTGGCCCGGCTGGAGGTTTTGTGGGACTGACACCAGACAGTGACGCCGTCTTCCAGCAGCTTCAGAGTTCGTCGCTTCTGCCAGCGAGGCGAGCGTACCTTTACATATAATGAAGTAAATCATTAAATTCCATTGATTTCATTGCTGCTACCCACTACTATTACTAACAACTAACAGCTACTAGAAGTTCATAAATTCTAATAGCTTTACCTTTACCATACTGGATCCCTGCAACATCCGCTTCACATCTTCATCATCCTGCACTCCTAGAAAGTAAACAGACAAAAAGATGGTTGAAGAAAGACAGATATGTCTTGAAAACATTCTTTCACTTTGGACAGGATGGCGGTAAGTGATCTGAACTCAGTAGCACTCAGCAGAAGGTGGGGGGTGAGGAGAGAAAAGGGAGAGTAGAGTATAGTCAGAATTAGAAGTTGGTGTATATACATCTGTTGGACCGCAGCAGCTCGTATGGGAGCTCTGTAATTCTGACATTTTGGTTCTGAACCAGCAGTCGGGTGTGGCTACAGATGACAAGGTATGGCCAGAGACATAGAGAAAGACAGAAGGACTTAATGTTGTGGAAGAAGAAACAGTGAGAGAAGATGGGGAGACAGAGAGATAGACAGATTGTATGGTGATAAGGTGAGACAGGGAGAGGAAATACCAATTAGTTAAGTGCTTTTGGCCTGTTATGAAAGCCAAACCCTATGACACCTTTCACAAAGAGGAAAAATGAGAATCGCCTGTATTTCAACCAGAAGAGATTTTGCAATACACAAATTCATTCATTTGCAAGCTATATGTGAGGCAGTGCAATAGCTGTATGTATAGCTTATTGTTGTTGTTGTTATGATAACTGCTAATCTCTCCACACTGTTAGGATACCCCTGAAGGTATGATACTGGATACAGTTCTCTTTAACCAACTTAAGTATACAATTACAATAGTTTAACTTGAGCATCAAATTCAACTTCTATACAGATGACACTGTTGCATACGCGGTTAACAAAGTGCATGACTAATAAATGTCTCGACCAACAAGTAGGAAATAAATGCTAAGGCTTTAAGCACCTGTTGACTATTAAAAACAGACAAATATGTCAATGTGATTTATTCAAATACTATTACTACTAACAACTTTCAATGTCATTGATTGATAAGGTCACCTTTCCTTTAGAGATTTCTTTAGAAAATATCTTGTGAAGGACCGTTTCTGACCATGACTATGACTGTGGTTCATACCTTCTACTAGACTTTTTTGAATTTGTTTTATGTTTGAAATACCCAATTTTCTGTGCACTGTAGTGCTGGTCACTATTTACTCTACTGTTTACCTGGGGAAAGAGTAAACAGCCATGCACTACCTCGATTACACATGGTGTTGCCATCCAGTGGCTATCATTGGTTTTGCCTAGCTTCGTTGGTAGCAAAATGGATACAATAATAATAATACATTAAATTATTAGAGGTGCCTCTCTGGGCACTCGAGGACACCGTACAACACAAAAAAAACAAAAAAAAAACAGGAAGAAATAAGAAACAGATAAGAAAAGACAATGTAGATGGTTAAGTGGGGTAGGCAGTTCTGAATAGGTGAGTTTTTAATCTTGATTTGAAGAGTGTGAGAGAGTCCAGGTTCCTGAGGTCCGGTGGGAGTGAGTTCCAGAGTTGGGGGGCAGAGCGGCTGAAAGCCCTGTTCCCCATGGTGACGAGGCGGGCGGGAGGGACAGAGAGGTGGACAGAGGAGGCAGATCTGAGGGAATGGGAAGGGTTGGCGATGTGGAGGAGTTCGGACAGATAAGGAGGGGAGAGGTTGTGGATGGCCTTGAACGTGAATAGGAGGATTTTGAGGTCAATGCGGAGTTTTACAGGGAGCCAGTGGAGTTGCTGTAGAACAGGGGTGATGTGGTGGATGGAGAGGGTTCTGGTGATAATTCGAGCTGAAGAGTTCTGAACCAGTTTAAGTTTATGGAGGTATTTGTGAGGTAGACCGAAGAGAAGGGAGTTGCAGTAGTCGATGCGGGAGGTGACAATGCTTCACCTTGGCAAGTGAATCCACTGATCACAGCAATTTAAATAGAATAACTGGTTTTGGTCTGTAATTTGACTCTTTTTAGTGCAGTTGTGACAGAGCTCTAACATGTGGTCGGTTTGCTCTATCGTCCCGTTTCAACCTCCAATGCAACGCCTCATGACTTCCATACTTGGAATTACAGAATGTAATTTCCCTTCCTGTGACTCTAAATATTAACCAATGATTTACATGTACTTCTAATAATGTGATAACATTACACTGTGTCTATGTATTAAACAAGTAAATATGAATATATCTTGGATTTCAGCTGAATTTTGGTATCTAAATTCTGTTTGTGAGCCCTGTGCACAATTCAAATTTACAATTTTTCAGAACATGCTAATTAACAAGCTTCACCCCAAGAATATCAGCATTGTGGTCTGCCCTCAAAACGTCCACCAGCGCCAAACCCTGCTTTTAATTTGCTTGGAACCCTGCTTGGAATTTCCCCATTGTGGGACAAATAAAGGAATATCTTATCTTATCTTTTATGCAGACAAGCATATGTTACATTTCCAAACAGCTTCTTTCTATAGCAAGAGACAGTCGAGGAAGTGCAGTAATATTACTGCACTCGCACAGGTGGTGGATAACTCTGGCTCCAGGCCTTGGCGCTGAAATCATTTCCAAATATTTACATGAGGGAATAGAGGACAGTGATCATGCAAAGTGGACATGTAAAAAAAATTGATTTTTAGTCATAGTTTGTTTTCTATAAATTTCCCCAAATAATGAGATCATGAGTCATGATAAAGCGTATAGTTAGGGCTTAGTTATACTGCTATAGGCCTAGACTATCAGGGGATTTCCCATGGTGCACTGAGCTCCTCTCTTCCTCTCTCTTTCTGCACTCATTCATGTCCCATTAATGCATATTCCTAACTTCACTTCTTCCCCGGAGTTCTTGTGCTTTCTCGTCTCGCAGGTTCTCATGGATCCTGGTGGAGCCAGAACAAGGTCAAGAGTGTGATTAAAACAATGAGTTGGTTTATTTACACTCTGACAGAAGCCAATTGAGTCTATTAATGATATAAATGCGTTACTAAGGCTGTCATTGTTAACATCCACATCCTCATAGTTGTTGCTGTGCAACTGTCTGTCTGTCTCTGTCTGTCTCTGTCTCTGTCTCTGTCTCTCTCTCTCTCTCTCTCTCACCCGAACTGGTCGAGGCAGACGACCACCCACCTAGAGCCGGAGGATCTGTCCTAGGTTTCTGCCTTTTAACAGTCAGTTTTTCCTTGCCCTTGTCGCCAAGTGCTTGCTCATGGTGGTACTGTTGGGTCTCTGTAAATAATGTTTTAAAGAGTTCGGTCTAGACCTGCTCTATTTGAAAAGTGTCCTGAGATAACTTCTGTTATGAATTGGTGCTATACAAATAAAATTGAATTGAATTGAATTGAATTGAGAATATTCTGCTTTTAAAATAACACTATTTTCTAGACCATATAAATGATTAAAAAAAACATTAACAGAAAAAAGTTTCAACCCTAAATCCAGATATCCAAAGCCTCTCTGACAGAAAATCAGAGCTGACACTTCCCTGAAAATCTTCCACATCCACACTCGAAATTACAACCTACAATGTCTACTTGAATAAATCCAGCTGCGGTTACACCTTCCTTTGTATACTCTCAGTCTGACAGTGCAACATCTGTTAACTCACATCCACATCATGACTGATCTTTGGGCTTATTTCTTCACAAGCAGTACATGAGTCAGAGCTAGGATTATTAGTGCAGTGGCTCTCTTGGATTGGATTAGCAGAGGGGAGCTCAGTGGGATGTATGTATGAGTATGATGCTAAAGATCTTGTGATACATGCACTCTTGACTCAGGAATCAGTATGAATTGAAACTCAATCTTAAAGCTGCACATGTCAATATTTATAGTGTTAATGGAAGAGTTCAACTTTTTGGGAATTATGCTCATTCCCTTTCTGGCTGAGAGTTGCATGAGAAGATCAATATCACTCTTGTGTTTGTCCGTTAAGAATTGGAGTTGGAGCTAGGACGCAATTAGCTTAGTTCAGCGTAAAGAAAAGGCTTCAGCATTTATAATAAATGCACTATAACAAATGTTAAAGCTGCATGTTTTATTTTTGGTCACTTAGTGGAAGTGGAGCAAGCTGTAAACACAACAAACACAACATCTCTAAAGCTCACTAATGAACATGTAATCTTGTTAGCAAGTTGTGGTTTTACAGAGAGTCGCCTGACAGACCTATTTCAAGCAAATAGTGGCTTTAGAGGTCAACGCTATACAGAGCCAGGCTGGATGTAATCCCTGCTGCAAGTTTTTATGAGATTTCAATGATGTCAGTGTTGTGTTTACAGCTTGTTCCACTGCTCCCAACTGGACAAAAAAATATCAATTCAGATTAAATATTTCAATGTTATGTATAACATTGAAATATTTAATCTGAATTGATATTTGATATTTATTTATTTATAATATTTATATTATAAATTCTAGCCTGTTTTGCTCCTGTCAAGTTGCAATTAATGGAGACAAATGTAAAACAAAAAAGCCCTGAGCTGCAACTGCAGACTTGTAATGGGATGTAAGGACGTGCACACGGCTGGGCTAAATTATTGAAATAGAAAAATTCATAATTTAGCACATTTTTGTTCATTTGCCTTGTTAGTGCCAATGCCGTTTTTCACAAAGCCAGATAATAGGCTTTATTAATCAGCCGACTGATTAATCTGAGTAGCCCATAACAGCTAAAGTTAGACCAAATTAAATCACCCCGCCTTATATTATGCTGTCCCATAAACCAATCTTAGCTAGCTAGCATACAGGGATGCAGGGTTAGGGTGAGGGGTTTTTTTTAGGTTAGAGCAACAGCCCTCAAAATGTCTGCGCACATCCCTGATGGGGGTTTCCTTTATCTTCTGCAGCCCCACTTGAAGCGAGTGACCATCAACAGCAATTGTAGTAGCCAATAGAATGTATGGAATGTAAGTTATCTTAAGTTTCCTATTAAGAGAGGCTTAAAATGGGCCCTAATGGGGCCCTGTGGCTTTGTTATCATATAGCCATACATAACCATATGTGTATGTGTACATATGTATTGAGGGAAATAGTAAGTTATACATTGAATTCTCTAGCAAAGGGACTATTTCCTCTGCAAAAAAGAAAATAAAAGTGCTGTGACATTGCCTTGAAGCTCTCCTCCAGTCCAAAGCT